ACAACCTTCATGCTAATAAGATGTAAATTACCCCAAAATTAGCTGCCATGGCTTTTAACAGGAGTTTCAGTTTTGAGTTTGATATTAACTTATGATGGTATAAATATAATATAAAATTAGATCTAACTCCATTTGGGTGGGATAGATTGAAGGATCATTTTTTATTTGAAAAGTGTAGATACATCTTTTGAGAAGCTCTAATTTTATACAAAATGTTTCTGGCAAAAATTACCTGTAAAATAAAATATAATTTATTCTAAAAGTGCACACTTATGGAAATGATATGATTAATAGATGTTATACTCTATTAATACAAAGAAACTCAGGAAAAGCTTTTCATACATTCATTAAGTACCGTGTTGTATTTCCAGAAGTTGAGTCTTTGATATAATAAGGGGTGTATATCAAACACAGAATAATTAAATAATAATAATGGGCCAAAACCAAAATTCAGCCCTACAATTACTTCATTCATATTCTCAAAAATCAAAATGTATTTGTTTGTACTTGTTACATCATATAAGGATTACCTTAGAAATAAAAAAAGCATATGTATTTGGTAATATGTAAAAACTGATATTTTGTCAAATTTCTTCCACTTTTACAAAAAAATTTTTTTCTAAAGTTCCCATGTCCCACATATATTAATTTGATACTGCATCATATGTCCCCTTTATGGTTCTAATTATTACACCAATAATAACAATTTTATCTACCATAACAGCCTCAGAATAATAAACTTTATAAGGTAGACCCTTGATTATAGGTGGCGCTTCTGTATATTTGAGGCAAAATGACCCATCAAATGACCTTCCAGGATCACCTAAAAATTCAAATGCATAGTTTAGGAAGTAGTCTCTAAGGAAACAGCAAAAAAATAAATATGAAATTAGGTTTGGCTGAAAAAAAAATTTATTAAGATTATCACCCTGCAACTTTAAAATCACTAGATGGCGCCACTATAACCTGCCATAAAAATTGATTTTACCCAAACCCGAAAAAATAACTTATGGATTCCTACACTTCAGGGTATCTTCTTAAAGAAAATCAAAAGTTATTTCATTCTAAATCCGAGTAAGCTCAGAGAGGCTAGGGACAGGATCAAAAGTTATTTTTGGTAATTTTACCTCTCCATGGTATTCTAGTACTTCTGGATTAAAGCAGGGCTGTTGTTTATCCCCATCCCTATTCTCACTAGTCATGACTGACTTAGTTGATAGACTGAATAAAGAAAACCTTGGTATTCCATTTAATAACATTAAAGTCCCAACATTACTTTTTGCTGATGACATTGTTCTTATGGCCGAAAGTGAGAGCCAACTGAATCATATGCTAAAAATTGCAGATCAGTTTGGTTCTTGCTGGGGATTCAAATTCGACCCCAATAAATCTAAAGTAATGGTTATTGGCAAGCGAATAGATAAAAATAAAACTTGGGTATTAGGTGACCTTGAAATCAAAGAAGTTGATACTTACAAATATCTTGGCATCCATCTAAATAGGCAATTAAGAGATAACTACCACGTGAATGTTGTTTTAAAAGAAAAGGATAAGAAGTTAAGAAATCTAGTTGCATCAACCCTAACTAAGCATATTAACTATAATAGAATATCATTTGGTAATACATTATACTACTCCCAGTACTTCCCTGCTTTGTTGCATGGATGTGGTGTTCTAATTCTTGACAAGACCTCTGAAAAGACCCTTTCTTCAATGCAATATAAATTGGCCAAATCAATTTTTCAACTTAAATGTAACCCTGCCAAAGCAGCAATGTTAGGTGACCTTGGCTGGAGAAGCATTATTAACATTATTCAGAAAAGACAAATTGATTATTTTTTATATCTTAAGTTCTCCATGAGGAACGGCCTACATAAGGCAATTTTTGATAAACTGTTTGAACATTTCAAGGGAAGAGTAAAAACATGTTGGCCATATTTTGAAAACATACAAGACATTTTAATTGAACATGGCCTTGATGATGTTGTGTTTAGAGATGACAATGAATGGTATGATTCTTTTTTGACCATATCCTCCCAACAACACAAAAGTAATTTTCTATCTGAATGTTCCTCGAAATCTTCACTAGAATTTTATGAATCAATCAAACAAACCCCATTTCTGGAGAATTACCTTACTTCAAGTAATGATTTTGTTGGACAGAGATTGAAGTTCAAAGCCAGAACTGGGTGTTTGGGTATTGGAACTGACCTCAAAAGAAGAAAATGTGATGATGGTTTTTGCAAACTTTGTTCCCTTCATCCAATTGATGATTTAACACACAGATTTTTTACATGTAGCCACAACCAACGTGAAAGAATTGATTTTTACAACAGAATTAAAACCTCATGCTCCCCTGATGTATTTAATATGTTCTTAACGCTTCCTTTAAATGAAAAATTAAAGTGGTGCCTAGGAGATGTTGTTTTTAGTATTTGGGGCAAAGACCAAGGATTCTTGTTTGACAAGTGTGTCAAACAATTTTTAGTGACTATTAATAACGATATTTTAAACTCATAACATATGTACAATTTAACATATTTGTTTTATCTATCTATCTATCTATCTGTATTGTATTGTATTTTATGAATATGTATTTGTTTTATGTACTGCCGCACTGGAATTTTCCATTGTGCCACTGATTAAAAAGTGTTTGGCAAATAAATAAATAAAAAATAAATAAATATGGCAATGAAATACCATGGTATTACCATAGTATTTGATGGTCAGGTTTGACAATAAAATGCCATGAAATACCACCAACCATGAAATGCAATGATAAAACCATGATAAATGAGAGTTATGATTTTGGCAATGAAATGACATGGTATGACCATGGTAATTGATTGTCACACGGTACAATGAAATGCCATGAAATGTCATCAACCATGATATACAATGGTAATACCATGGTAAATGATGGTCAGGTACATAACAATAAAATATCATGGTATGACCATGACATTTGATTGTCAAATTATACAATGAAATACCATCAACCATGATATACAATGGTAATACCATGGTAAATGATGGTCAGGAACCTGGCAATAAAATACCATGGTATGACCATGGTATTTGATTGTCACATCTTATAATGAAATGCCATCAACCATGATATACCATGGTAAATTATGGTCAGGAACATGGCATTGAAATACCATGGTATTTGATTGTCACATCTTACAATGAAATGCCATGAAATGCAATCAACCATGGTATACCATGGTAATACCATGGTAAATGATGGTCAGGAACATGGCAATGAAATACCATGGTATTTGATGGCAAACTTTGGACATGAAATACCATGAAACATGGTATAACATGATATACCATGGTATACCATGGTCAAAAATTGACCAAAAAAACATCATTGCCACCATGGTCAGAGTTGATGGTAATTTCATTGCCGATCATGATAGACCATGGTAAACCATGGTATACCATGGTATCATGGTTTACGTTTAAATATGGTATTGTTAAATAGCCACTGTCATTTGTGACTAATGTTCAGTATTTCTATCAAATGGTTGCTCTTTTGTAATTGAAATGTGGTGATGTCATTTTGTTAAGGTAATGCTTAGCATTCCGGATTCTGAAGAAAGTGAGCACATTCTCAATATTTATAGTTCATTTGACTACATAGCTGCATTTCAAAAATTTGAAAATTCAATTCAAATGAATCTAGTCATGCTGGAAAACCTTATTATTACCACCTTGCCGGGCCAGTTCTAGGGGTTTTAGTGCTAGTTTAGAAGGCGTTCATTTTACTATATCGACCTGAGAAATGTGTGACGTCATAGTGGTGGTCCATATGGACCGGTCTAGAATATATTCTGGGCCGGCAATTTTTCCCCGGGAAATTAGATATCGTTCAGTGCGTAAGATTTTCTTGCTATTTCAGCCCTGGTTGTTAACGGTGGTAATAATACTAATAACGTCATTTCTGCGAGCAATATAGTGAAATTTTGGACCTTGGGCCTTCGGCCCTCGGTCCAATATTTCACTGTATTGCCCTAAGAAATGACATTATTGTACTTTTATAATCAAGTACATGTATTATTGACTTCATATTGTCAGAATGACTAAATGTAAACACTTGTCAGTTTGAACACTTTTAGCTGGTCACAGACTAGTGTTTGCTATTAATTTTTAATGTCATTTTCTAAAAGCAGTCTTGAGGTTATCATGTGTTTATCCCCGAGATACTTGAGAATATTGTTTCTTTTTAAAAATGAGATAATAAATGATAAACTGCATGAATAATATTCTAAATAGGATAACTGGCTGGTAGGTTTCTTTTTAAAAATGACATTTATAAAAAGTGTCGATGAAATACAAATAGGGAATCTATAAAAAGATCAATGCTTAATCTGGAACTTAAGTAATAATTATTATATAATGACTCTCATCTACTCTACCAGTACATGTATTGTGCAATTATTGACATCATCTTTGTATTAAATATAGTCCACAAAAGGGAGTTATAGTTATTTCATTTCATTTCATTGATCCCTTCTGGGTGGTAACCTTTTAAGTTTATATTAAAAACTCCTACAATCCATATATATACACACATATGTAGATCTTTTGACAGGTTACCAAGGGGACTCTCATTTTATGGCAATTTCCTGTCATCCGAGTGGGAATTAAACCATTCTGAAACTCATCACATCTTTTAGAGAGGAAAATAGGTGACATGGTTTCTTATGATGTATTAATTTATCTTTGCAAAGGATGCAGGTACAAGAATGTATTTATTAGATGAGCCATACATACTGTTAAACCACTGTATTCCCTCAGTTATACAATGCTAGAAATTAATTAATTTCACAAGTGCATAAAGGGCCAAGTTTTGACCTGGATACTGAGAACAAAATAAAAATGATGCATTAACATTTCAGACAACACATGGCCATACTGCATTCTGATTGGTCAGAAAGAGCTAATGCATGTCTAGATACATGTATATGAATTTGAATGACTTGTGTTTGCAGGTGGGAGAATAGAAGATGAGTGATCAAGAACTCCCAGAAAGATGAGACGTAATCTTATGTGAACACTGAATTACTGAATCACCTACCCCGTCTCTAGGTTGCCAGTAGCGCCACCTGGGAGCCAATCGAGTGCAAGATGTTGGATGGACTCGTTGCAGGGCTTATTAATAAGTACCTTGGGAAATATATTCAGAATTTGGACTCTGATAATCTGAATATCAGTATCCTGAGTGGTAAGTTTATTTTCAGATTTACATCAACATAAAGTAGCCAATGAAATATGGGATTAATTGACAATTTAAGATGTAGAAATGCCCAAATTCATTAGAATTGGAAAAGGGACATCCACTTTTTAAAAGTTAACCTTACGACATATGAGTGATTATGGCAAAAATGTGTTATTTTGATTTTCCATATGCTAGATCAAGGAATTATCTCTAGTCTAAAGAGTTTCTATGAAATTTAGCACTTGGGAAGGGTAAATCATGACCACCTTGAGTCTAAAGAGTGCATACATGTGAAGTTAAGTCTTGGGAAGGGTAAATTGTGACCACTTTGGCATTTCTGCCAAAGGTTCCATTAAAGCTGTGGACTTGACATGATAAAATGAATGTAGGGATGTAACGATAAGTGCACCTTAGCAAACAAATTAGTTTTTATAGCTACTTAGCAGAAGAAAAGTCGGATGAACTCATGAGGAAATTCTCACAATGGTCATGTTTTATAATGAAAAATAGTTGAATTAACAAGGAATAAAGTAAACAAAAATGCTGAATTGACATTATTTATCATGATGAAAATCTTGTGTCTCAACCAGTTGATTTTATAAGAGAGAAATTAAAAATTAGTGTTAAAGGCATGACCACAGTAGAAATATTTTGAATGGTAAGATTAAGCCCCCTAGTGATATATTGCAATGTAACACAATCCTCACATGGTATTTTTACTTCTAAGATTCAGTTTGAAGTAATAATACCAAATCAGTGCAATATTTCTTCATAAACCTCACAATTCAAATGCAATTTATAATTTATCAATGTCTAATAAATGATTTTATTCCATGATGTTGTCAGGAAAAATTTGAACAGACTCCTCTGTCTTTAAGAGCTGTCTTTCTCTCACGTTTTGATTCGTTTAGCGACATCCATTGAATAGCAATATCACAAATCCTATCAATCTAAGTCTACTTTTAAAGCCCTCACATATATTCTCGTCACAAAAATCCAAAATAATGATGCTAGAGTAAATAAATCTGTATTATATATTAAAGAACAGGATCTTGAATAGGAATTTATTACATGAACTGTGCCATTCTGATTAATCAGATGCTCTTCTAGCTATGATTAGTTCCTTTTGTATAAGAGTAGATTCTGTTGTTATCACCCAATGCCGATTTATTTCATTTTTGTTATGTAATCATGGATACTAACCAGACTTCATAGTTTAGAGGCAATGGCCATCTACATGTGTAAGCAAACTCAACAATTTGACCAGCTCATTGGCAGAAGAGCCTAAAATTCCCAAAGTATGACAAGGTATGGTAAGTGCCTCATTGATATATTCTTATCTCATTCTATCTAAATCTCTTTGTAATTTGATTTCAGGCAATGTTGAGTTGACAGACTTACAATTGAGGCCAGAGGCATTGGTAAGTGCAGTGTCATCTGTCTTTACAGAAACTGACCTTATTATACAATGTGACCTTGCATGACCTTGACCTTCAGAGAATTTGATTTGACTGTTTTTCATAATTGATCTTTGTCATTTAATGGCAACTGTTTCAAATAAAATCTCCCAACTTTAGTAACCAAAGATGATCTTGACATTGAATAGTTCTATGTTTCAATTTCCTATACATTTCTCTTACTATTTTCAGTTTGAATTGGATCTGCCAATTGAGGTGAAGGCAGGTTATGTTGGTAAGTAATAGCCAAGATATTCTTCGACTTGGTACAACAGAAACAATACTTGTTGGTTTGATTCTGTCTTGCATCATCCATCTTAAAGGAAGCCAATTTGATACTAGAATATAACCCCAAAGCTAACACTCAATTTGTATATCCCAGAGTTCAAATCTGACCATTGGTGTGCAGATGAATAAACACAAATGAGACATCTCAATCTAAAATTATCAAGGGGCACCTAAGTTGCCCCTTTAACCAAATGCCTCTTTAGACTCGTCTGTCATTATGACCCACTCTCTAATAGTGATTATAAAACTAAAAGAATGATAAGAATTTGATGAAGTTTACTGATCTGAAAATAGGATTACTTATAAAAACATTGTTGATTTCCAGGTAAAATCTACTTGAGCATACCATGGACCAGCCTGTATAGCCTCCCAGTGATAGCCTCTGTTGAGGATGTGTATGTTATAGCAGGTCCACTCTCAGACAGGAAATATGATGCTGAGAAAGAGAAAAATCTGGCTAATGCCATCAAAAGGCAGAAATTGGAAGACCTTGAGATGTCAAAGACTGAAAAAGGTAAATGTCTGGCATGTATATTGATCAGTACTAATAAGGTCAAACATGAAATAACATTCATCATGGTAAGATGATTATGTTGCACTTAGCAGATCTACATAATACGCTATTACTTTTCTTTGCTCAACATAATCACAATGGATTTTTGTTCTCTTATAGGTGAGGAAACAGAATCAAATGACCAAGGCTTCTTTGACTCTCTGGCTGCAACTATTGTGAACAACATACAGGTATTCATTTGAGACTTCTGTTTCTAGTTTTCTCAACTCTCACAAAATGCAACAATTGTAATTTGTAACTGTAATTATAATTATTCATTTGAGATTAATTCATTTCTCAAGTTTTAGGCTCTAGCTGTATACATTGTGAATAAAATGCAAGTATTTAATTGAGACCTACCCATTAAAGTTAGAATATACAGTACTAATATTATTTTGTCATCACCAAGTAAAATGAGGACACCCATGTCATTTATTAAGCTTCACTTTAGCCAGTTTATTATCATCATGAACCTATCAGATGAGCTCCATTTAAACTAACTTAAAGTCTCCGATAAATCGGACTACGTATACCGCCGTGTTTACATTAGGGGATTAGAAGAGTTTACTTTTATTTAGGTATGCAAACAATATCAATATTAGGCCTTCATGCATGTACTCGTGTGTACAATCAGCATGCCCTTCAATATTATATAAACCGGGCTATTCAAGTACTACATAATGTACACTATTTATGTGTGTACTTCATGGGAATACGATTCCCTGGGAAACAAAACACAAATACTTTTTATATGTTCAAAATGAGCCATTTGATTGATGCATACACTTAATAGCTCATTAATAACATCTACAAAGTATATCTAATAGTAATTTTCAATTTCAATTGTGAAACTTGCCTGGTTACAATAATACGGGAAATCAACACAGGACGAAGATTGTTCACCTTCCTGACTTACCTCTGAAGCCTGTACCTTGTAATCTCTTAATATAGGTTAGCGAGAGCAGTTTTAAACTTTGGCGCACACTTTAACTAACTTAACAACAAAAAATGGAACAACTTGAAAAATTTAGAAAATATTTTTATGGTTTGTAGGTGTTTGTGAAGAATATCCATATAAGGTATGAAGATAATGTGACTATTCCTAATCAGCCATTTGCATTTGGCGTGACATTGAAGAACTTCTCTGCTGAGACTACTAACTCGCAATGGCAGGTCACACAGATTGATTCCAATGCACAAGTCATACACAAGGTAAAATAAAAACTAAAACTGTCACAGAAGCAAATACTGTTATGTTATTCAACTCTAGACAATTAAATCGAAATGTGAATGAAAATTTCACATTTTCTTTTTTGATCGTTATATGGGAAGACGGAGATTTACCGTAGGGTTTCTATTAGATTTTATTCTGTACATATAGAGAATAAAAAATTCTCATTATTTTCTCTATTTCATAAAATTGTGCAAAATGTTAGCTGTAATAAAAACTTGCTGTGCTTTACTAAGTGCATCTGTTTCAATAAATCCTTGCAGCAAGTGAAACTTGATAGTCTAAGTGCCTATTGGAATGCCTATTGCCCAGAGCAGAGTTTGGTCAGAGGGAAGTTGTTCACCACTGCATGGAGGGTAATACTTATTTATTTTTATGATTTGCTGAATATGTAACAAAACTGCATGGAGGGTAATACTCATTTATTTTTATGATTTGCTAAATATGTAACAAAACTTCTCATTGGTCAGTGTAATGCCTAGATATTTTTCATGGTAATCTTATCTTATTGAATATGTTGCATGAATGAATTTAAGGACATTTACAATACTTGAGGGAAATTATCTAACAAATTTTACCTTAGCTTACTGTTTTAAGCTATTATCGCATTGATTTTCTATTTTTACAGAATTTGTTGAAGAATTCGCTTGAAACAAAAAAGATAATGAACGAAGACTTTGATTATGGTGAGTACTGGTGTATTAACACTTTAAACCTCAGTATGATCGTGGGTGTTCAAGAGACATTGATTGATATAAGAAAAGGATTTTAAACTCCCCATTCCATATTCATTATTTTCATCAATGTTATCTGAGATCAAGGCAGTCTTGAAACATGAAAATGGTGATCTACAAAATATGTGTCTTTGATTGGTGTAAGTGTAATTTGAGTAAAGTTATCTGACTATTTTTTCAGTAATTCGGCCAATATCTGGTGAGACGAAAGTGATCTTAAATAAAGATGGGAAATTGAATATTCCAATGCTGATAGCTGACCTGGTCATAGAGGACATTGACATTATATTCTCAAGACAACAGGTAAACAATACTTAACATTGCTGGTATTATAACCAATGCCATATTCTTGTGATTCGTAATGAGTGTTGAATCTGAGTCCGAAAAAAAGAAAATTTACAGAGTCTGGATCAAGGATTTTTATAATCAAGTTGTTATGTTGTGAGATGTACATATTCAATACTCAATATATCCTTTCAAATAATCACCCTGTGAATGTGTCTGTTTTCATTCTGACTATATGTACATGATATATCAATTTATCAGAATTACATAATTTATGAACTTGCAAAGAAAAATAAAGTATGCATTCCCCGCTTCATTCAAACATCCATAGTTTCAAGTCATATTTAACATTTAAAACATTTTCATATTTCAGTATTTGAACTTGATGGCCCTGTTAGATTCATTCAAACTGATGGCGCTGAACCAGAGGTATCGTAAATACGCCCCTGATATGCCAGTAAAAGGCAATGCACATCTCTGGTGGAAGTATGCATACAATGCCATTGTGGAAGAGAAGATTAGGCCCTATTCTTGGTCCAGGATCAAAGAACATAGGTGTGTTCACAAGTATGGTAAAACCTGTCTTATCCAAACACCAAAGGGACCACACATAAGTGTCCAGATTAACAGTGTTCACATTTTAAGGTTTTCTTAAGATGTAAGTTAGTGGAAGATTGACAAAATTGAGACTGAATGTTCACATTGAGAGGTGTTCAGATTAGAGAGGTGTTTGGATATACATATTTTACTGTACATCTATGGTCTCCCCAGCATCTTCTTTCGTGGCGCAGCACCCACTTATGACTGAAAACTGCACCTATCATGCGCCTACTTCAAAGTTTGCGCCACTTTCAAACTGTCTATGCACCCACTTCACTCAATACCGACCGAAAGTAAAAAAGAAATAGAAAAAATAAAATAATTTCACATTTTCTTTTCATTGCTCTCGTGCTTTGAGGAACCCACGAAACTTTGAAAATCAGCTGCGCATATCCTTGAGTCATTATGTTACTACGATTTATTCATAAATAATCTCATCATGTGACTTTTAGGTCCATATATGGCAAAGAGGGGTGGCATTTATGTGGATGATTAATATGAGGCCCTATGCATAAGAATTGAGAACGGCTTACTTGTTTGTAAATAAATACGAACTGTTTAAATATTTGCACCAACTAACTTTTCACTGTAACAGGGATATTGTGTACTCTTTTTATGATGATAAAAGACTAGTCTCGGTTTGGAGAAGGAAGTTCATCAGTCTACTGCATGTTACGCCTGCTTTGGACAATTTTGATATTTTTATATATTGCAGATTTAAATGTCCTCTTTCGAATATTCATAATTTAATTTGGTTGTTAATTCTATATTTTTCAAAAAAAATTATTAGCCCAGTAAACTGTTCTCCAAACCGAGACTTGATTTATTTAGCTATTACTAGCCATTAGCGATACAATCGATTTTCTAGATGAAATATGAATATCAACACTTTAATTGTTTGTAATTTTCACATATCAAAACCTTGTCATGGTCAAAAAAGGTCGGCAGGCGGCGGATGGGGGGCGGTAGGTGGAAACTTAAAACTTCCAATAACTTAACAAATACTGCTTAGACTGCTTCAATTTTTCTACAAGTTTTCAGAAGTTCAAATCTGACTTTACATTTAAGATTTGACCTTCAATGACATTTTCAAGGTAAAAAAGGGAAAAAACTAAATTTTATTATCAAAATCATCTACAAGTTATGAGAAGTTCAAATCTGACTTTAGATTTAAGATTTGACCTTCAATGACATTCTCAAGGTCAAAAAAGATTAAAAGGTATTTCTTCAACTTGCTTCAAATTGACCAATTTTTTGTTCAAAGTCATCTACAAGTTCCCAGAAGTTCAAATAGATTTAAGATTTCACCTTCAATGATCTTCTCGGGGTCAAAAAATTTGCTTCAAACTGACCAATTTTTTTTCAAAATCATCTACAAGTTCTCAGAAATTCAAATCTGACTTCAGATTGAATTGATAATATCGTGAGCTTGAATTGAATATGTAGCTCGTCCTATTATATGCAAATTCTATACAAATAGTTCAAAAGTATAACCAATGTAATAAAAGGAACCTTCACATGAAAACCAGTTTGCTAAAATATATCTTTCATTTAGGAACAAATACCGGCAATACAAGAACCTGTACAAGAGGAAGTTAGAAAATCCCTCAGATAACGAAGTTAAGAATAGACTGAAACAGCTAGAGGATAACCTGGACATAGCTAACATTCTCATGGCAAGAGAACATGCTAAATTGGAGGTAACTCCAAGGGTGGTTGCATTAAATAATTCAATCCATTTACTTAATTGCTATCGCCAGTTAACCCTCATTATGATACTCAGACCGTCTCTACAATGCACAAGAATGTTCTAGAAGGAACTGAGACAAGGCTGTGATATCTCATGATGGTTAACCCTGGGAATGAAGCATTTACTTTTTAAAGTTCAGATTAGCATACTAAGATATAATTTGTACTAAATGAAAGATTATTTTGATGGGGTGTTTAAATAGGGATGAGATATTAGGATAATGATTTACACTGTACTTAATATAATTAGTCAATTAATAAACTAATTAAAACTTAACGAAATAGGGATAAAATAGTGAAATAAACCAGTGTCTTTTAATGAATTAAAGAATACTTTTATGTACTCTGTGTTATAGTTTACCAAAGAGGCACCTGAACGAGCAGACAAGAAAGAAAAAGAACAAAGTTGGTGGAATTGGGCATTTGGAAGCGATGACAGTGATGATGAAGAAAAAGTTGTGATAGACAAGTCTAGAACAGGTAAGTTGATGCAGATAATTCTACAACTGGCAAGTTGTTGTTGACAGTTCTAAAACAGATAAGTTGTTATAGATAAGTCTTGAACAGGCAAGTTATGGTATCAATTCTAGAACAGGCGATTTATAGATAAATCTTGTACAGAGTAACCTTCATTGACTTAACTTTCCAAATTTTCTAATATGCTAATGTAATGGATAATTATACAACACATACCAGGTCGTTCAATAAGTTCACGGAAAAATGCTCTCATTTCAAAGATTTTTGAGTTTTTCTCATGAAATTTTCACACAATGTGCAAAAAACATTTTATTATAGATTCATTAAATATCAGCATCTCTTATTTGATTGGTCAAAAAGAATGGTTACTTTGGTAATTTGACTTTTGGGTAGGCGGGGCACTTTTCACGTCACATTATTCAATAGAAAAATAACAGAATAGTAGGCAAGTTTATGAGTGTATCACATGCATTTTCTCTTCTTTGCTTTCTATGTGAAGATGATATAACTTAATATAATATTCACAACTATTGTTCCATAAGGTGTTAGTTGTTGAATGCACAATCGCTGGTGTTCAACCTATTGTTGAAACTGTGCTCTGAAGTCACCAGGAAAACTTGTTTGAAGGGCAATCTAGACTGCAGTCAAAAGTTGTTGCACTTTTCATATTGTGCACCTCTTAATTAATCCTTCATCCTGTTGAAAACAGCAAAATCAAGGGTTGTCTCTTCTGGAAAGTATGGAGCTTGGGGTAGCCTTGCCATCTATTTTGTCAGTTTGTGATGGTTTCCTGCACTATTCACAATATTAGCAGTGTGACTGGGTGCATTATCAATTTATCATGGTGGAAAAATTCAGTTTGGCTAAATGGTTAAGTGTTATCAACTTGCCATAGCATAATACACTTTGTTGATTTTCTCATTCTCTAGTACAGTATTGACTAGCAGGATCCCGGAAATGTCTATGAAAACTATGAACATCAATTTTCTCTCATTACATTAAGAACAATAAAACCTAGGGATCCTTCATTTGCACATGTTGATAGATTTCTGTAATTGTAAATTGTGTGACGTAAAAAGTGCCCTGCTTACCCAGAAGTCAAGATACCATAGTAACCATTATTTTTGACCAATCAGATTAGAGATGCTGATATTTTAAGAATCAATTGGAAACTATTTTTTTACACATTTTGTAAAAATTTCATGAGAAAATATCAAAAATCCTAGAAATGAGAGCATTTTTCCGCGTACTTATTGAACGACCTGGTATAAATTGACTTAAGAATTATCTTTGTAACAGAAGAAAAATTTAATCCTCTTGTCTACTTTCAGATTGGCTGTCCAAATTGACCCCTGAGGAGAAGGAGAAACTCTACAAGGGTATTGGTTATGATGTCAATGCAAGCGCCCACAGTGAACATCCCCCTGAGGTACATAGCAAAATATTCAACTAATGTCACATGTAGTTAATTTCATAAAATGACAACATCCCTAGGCCCTAGTCATTGCTATCCATCCACTATAATACCACACCAGATCTAGTTGGAAAAGTAAAGCCAGTGTAAATGGAACATTTTTTGTACCCCAAAATATTATTCCACTTACAATATAGGTGTTCAACTTCATTGACACAAAGTCAATGGGTAACAGGATTTTCAAAAATTCCCACTTGTGAAAGTGTTCCACTTACAAAGGTTTCTTTCGACGGGTCCTATTGTATTTTCAAATGTGATCTCCATTTGGTAATGGTAATTTTTTGTATTCTTTTTTCCAGTACGTAGCTCACAAGATTAATATACATCTAACTGCCTGTACAATATCTCTGGTGAACTATAGTAGAGAAGTACTGAAGGTGTCAGTGGCCAACTTCTCTACAGCCATTCAGAATAGGCCTCAGTCTAATGGATTCAGGTGAGCAATTCACTATGTGTAATTGGAGCCAGAGGGGGGGGGGTATTCCTAGTTTCAATTTTGTTGAAATTTTTGTCATATATTTTTAAATGATTTCTATGATGACTTTCTATGGAGTCCATATAATTATAGTCATTAGATCATTCAGTGTAGCTGGCAGGACAAAGCTTTATGATTTCTATGTTCTAACACTTATTGTGTCTGTTTGTCTATTCTGTCTCTAAGAACTGTCATATATTTCTTACTAACACTACAATGCTTTCTTTAATGTTAATTCTTAATAATTCCGTCAATTTTTTTATTATTTATTTCTAGCTATTGAAATAACACTTTGATTACATGCAAAATTATGATTTTCAACTTTTAGCTTAATCTGAATATGATTTATCTAGCCACCTGTTGACCAACCTAGAACTTTTCATTTAACATATACTGTACAGTCTAAAGCACAATTCTTAAGACATATTACTGCTCCTTCATTTCTCTTTTGTCTCTATTTTTGAGGGAATTACTTGTAGATACTAGATATAGTACAGCAAATTCTGTTCAAAGAACATTGACCCTCTCTGGAAGGAACACCTGTCTTCAAGCTACAGTATCAGTTAGTACAAGAGCATTCTCAGTACACATATATGAGTACAGTACTATTGGTAATAGTACAGTACTATTGGTAAAAGTACAGTACTATTGGTAAAAGTACAGTACTATTGGTAAAAGTACAGTACTATTGGTAAAAGTTGAACAGAGCTTTGATACCATACTGATCTATTTGTGCTCATAGTTCAGATATCATATTGGACATGGGTATGTTTTCTTGGGATTGTGCCCTAGACTGTACTACTAAAACAATCTTCTTATGAATATTGGCTTGTTTCATGATTACAGTGTATCGTGTTGTGTACAACCAAATCCTGACAGGTTATTCTCTATACTTTTCATTTCAACTAGAATAAAGCTTACAGGATCCAGAAGTGGTGTTATTTTATATTGAAGGGCTACTTCTGACATGCCTTTCGACATTGCACATTGGTACATGGAGAAGATCCTAAGCTTACTAGTTTAAATAAATTATAATGGAGGCTTTGGGTTTCACATGTTCTGCTTCATTTGTCCAATTTGATTGCTTTGACTGCTTACCATTAAGTTTATGTGTATGTTTGAGTTGGTGTTTCGAGTGGGAATTCCTATTTCTCAAAAATGCTGCTGAAAATTCCTTTTGGTTCATATTTCATAATGTAACAATTTATACATGAGATTGCAATAATTATGTAATTTACGATGCTTCTGGACGAACTTATTGTGTGGCTGTCGTGTTATCTGGGTTACCCACCTGATGCTGAAACTGGTGTGTGTTTACTTACAACTAAATTGTTATGCTACAAATGAAGCTCCCGTTTGATGCTTTGCTTTCACAAAACCCTTAAATGGATGTGTTATTAAATTATCAAAATATTTTAAACATGTGACATATTCAAAAATCTTAATATATTATTAGAAAACATGAAGGGAAATGGGAAAAAATGCTTCTAGAAAAAAAGTAAGCACTTTCCTAACTGCTATACACAAAACATAGTTCATAAAAATTATATCAAATTGTACTAACATATCAAATCAAATAGCCCATCATTCCAAATCATTTTGATCAGTAAGGAATGTTGATGTAATTTGTTCTTCTATTTATATGTAAATATAAAATCTTAATCATGCCAAGGGCTTCATGCTAATTTAGATCATTGTGTAGTTTGTCATTCATTTATCAAATAGCTACTGCTTTAATGCTGTCTATGTCGATTTTGTAGTCAGTATTCAAAAGAATTATCTTCATGTATTTGATTGTATTTCCAGAATCGGTGGTAGAACAGAAAGTTTTATTGTAGAAGGCGCCTCTGTGGAGAATGACCTTGTAGCAATAATAACATCTGATATTGGAGTTTATGGTAATACATTTAATATAACAACTAATTTAAATTTAAATGTGCTAATTCACATTATTTTATAGTACAGTATTAAGATATAAAGTCTAGTGTTTTGTCAACAGTGAGCCTTTGGGTTCGGCTAGGGATCCATCTTTCCATTTCTTTTGCCATCCATCTGTCCATTAGATTGACTGATAGTCAGTCCATCCATTCACATTGATTTTGACGTCAAAAAGTCATATTTTTGTTAATATGTCAGAAATATGTTAAATAGAACTACCACATGATGCCCGTAAGTTGCTGAAGACATAAAAATTATATAAAAAAGTCATAGCCTCATGGAAAACAGCTTTTGACATTTACTCATTGAACTTAGCTTTAACGTGTCATTGTCCTCTTGGTTTTCAAAAAATTGGCAATCTTGACATCAAAAGTCATGTCTTGGTAACAGTTCACTGTGTGAACACAGGGGCAATGGGTCCTTTATTCTAAATTTAATAAATAGATTTTAAAAAACATGGAATTAATTTCTACACCTTGTGTATACAATGTGAACATAACATTAAATATTTTCTCCATTGAATACAGAGAATTTTTATTCGATTAAACACAGTATTCAAGAGCACAATCATATACATATATTTCGCAGATGTAGCGGTATGTGTATATTACTATCCTTATTGTCCCCACAATAATAAATAACTGTCTTATTTTCATTCAATCGCATTGTCTCCCTCATAGTCCATACAGATTTCGTACCATGTACGCACTTTCTTAGGGGTACATCTGTTATGTATTCCTTTGTCGGGTCCCTCGAGTGCCCACAGGAGTCCCTTTTCCGAAGCTGCAACTTTCAATTTTGAAGTGGCACTGGGATATAGGATGGGATTCATATGGGAGTCAGCTGTCAGATCCATAGGTGGAGGGCATTTTTGGAGGTTTTCATCTGGAAAATTAGAATATTGAGTTTTTTCATTCTTCTGATTGTTTGAGAAATCTCAAATGCAACTCATTTGATTTCGACTCTATCCAGCTATCTTCCTTTAATATTAAAGGGAAGGATGTGATTCTATGTTTTTGCATTTGACTGTCTTGTGATATTTTGCACCAGATTTACTCCTGTTTTGCTGTATTTTGTGCTATTGTAAAAAAGATCAAATCTTACCATTATATTTCTTGTCTCTTTTCCTTGTCACCAGCACCCCCTTAGCTATGGTCACCAATATTAGTATGCCTATTTCAATCATGTTTTGAAGATTTAAAAGCACAATGAATGTTAACTTCTACCTCCAGCAAAATCAAACTCTCAGTGTTTACTTTAGCAACCAAAAGTATTGTGATACCATCAATTGTACCTGTGACATCATAAGTACTGTTTGTGATGTCACAAATACCAATTGAATTCTCATATTCTTGAGTTATTGTGATGTCATGTTTGTTTATGGTTACAGTTGGTAGTTATATAAATAAAATTATGACATCACAGTTCAAGTATTCTGTTTAGTAGTCACTGTGTGTTTCCATAGCAACAAAGTATAATTTGTATTCATTTATAACCATCAAAATTGACTACATGTATTTGTTGGTGATTTGTTAGTCTCACAATTAAAGATGCCTGACCCCTAACCATTATTTTATCCATACTCTTTGACTCCCTTGGTGATCCTATAGGATCCATCTATCCATCCATAGGTCAGTCTGTTCATCAGTCCATCCCTTAACATTGGTGGTAATGCTATTTAACATTTAAACATGGGGATTAATGAAATGTTTGCTTTACATTTGCAGCGCCTGTTCAGGATCAGCAAGTGTTCAACTTTGACTTTGATATGAATCCTGTCTACATAGCTGCAGACTTTGCTGTTAGGTTGAATGTACAACCAGTTGAGATAGTCTATGATAAGGTACAGTAGGTCTTGAATTTTAGCTCTATGATTTAATAAAATGACTCTTTGGTATTCAGTAAGTTTATTGTTCAAAGTGATTTCAGGTTTTTTATTATTCAGAAAAATTACATAGACTTATGATTAATTTGTCTATTTTATTTTTTGAATATCTTGCTACTAGTGTCTCATGAAATAGACTAGCCTAATAATAATTATCAAGAGGAATCAGGTTTTTCTATCACATCTTGTATTTCTTTGATATTTGACTTTGCACATACTACCAGGCTGCAATCTACTTGTACTGATTTTCCTTCTTGCAGCACTCCTTGTCTGAAGTCCTGTCATTCTTCCAAGCTGCAAGCGTAAGTGCATCGGACATAGCAGCCGCAGCTACATCTAGTTTGAATCAAATGGTGGAGATCTCTAGGGCAGGCCTGTATTATGCCATTAACCAACACAAGACCATACATCTCTCTGTCAACATGCACTCCCCCTATGTTGTAATACCAGAGTATGGAACACTGCATAGGTGGGTTTAAAGTATTTTATGATTCCCTGTTCATCAATCTCCCTGTTTTTGCCACTGCCAAGAAGTTATGACATGTTCCAGAACATATGACATAAATACAATAAATATGTCAGAACATATGAGAGACAATCTGTCATTGGAGAACTCCCGACTGAAATATGACTATAATATTTATTTATGTTTAAAGCCGTGATAAGCCATTGGAAGCCTGTTTATATGAAAAAATTAACATACATGTGTAATGCTTGGTTGTGTTTCAGAAGGGGCAATGTGCTTGTTCTTGACTTTGGTAAACTGAAAGTTGAAAGTGAGTTGCAGACCAAGGATATCAACCTAGAGGACGCCACCTTCTCTGAGATTGAAACACGGCTGTATGATAAGTTTAACATAACGGTCACAGATGTTAAAGCTCTATTGGCTGACTCAGGTAATATTACTTTTTATCCCATCGAACGAAGTTCGGAGGGATATAGGGAACGCCTCCGTCCGTCCGTCCGTCCGTCCGTCCGTACGTCCGTCCGTCCGGACAATAACTCAAATACCGTTGGCCCAATTTTGTTCATATTTTGTACACATATACCCTATGCAGGTAGAAGTTCTGCTCGAAAGCCGATTTTCAAAATGGCTGCTCATTTAAAAATGGCGGCCATTTTAGTACCGATTTTACAATAATTTAGGTGCAATATGTAAAACTGTAAAAGCAATATGTTTTAAATGTAAAAAAACTATATAGGACTTTAATAAAGCTAAAAATGTAGATATTAAAGAAGCACATGGCAGCCATCTTGAAAAATGGCGGCCTTACTCGTTATTTTACGATTTTTGCTGTAAGTCAAGAAGTAGTGGATCGATTTTGTTCATATTTGGTATGTGAATACTATAAGCATGACTCACTGTCTAATGACATTTTTGGTAGGAAGCAGCCATTTTGAAAAATGGCCGCCATTTTGAAAAATGGCCACCATTTTAACATATTTTACTATAACTCAAAAAGTAGTGGAGCGATTTTGTTCATATTTGATATGTGAATACTATAAGCATGGCACACTGTCTAATGACACTTTTGGTAGAAGGCGGCCATTTTGAAAAATGGCCACCATTTTGAAGTATTTTACCATTACTCGAAAAGTAGTGGAGCGATTTTGTTCATATTTGGTATGTGAATACTATAAAAAAAAGCATATTACTTCTTCTGATGACAACTTGGCTACTGAGCAACCATTTTGAAAATGGTGGCCTTTCTTATGTGTGTTATTTTATGATATTTGCTATATACTTAAAAATGCCAGTCATTTCTGTTCGATGGGATTCGCTACGCTTTGGCGTTGCCGTTGTTCTGGTTACTGTGATATTTAATTACATCTAAGGAAATATTTGCCTCAAGACTAATGGACTCCACATTTTAGCTTCAATTGATTTATGTAAGGTAGATCAGACTCAGATCATTTCTCGCCCTAGTGTTCTCAGAGATCCATATATTTCCTCAATTTGAAAATTATGAACAAAAATGATTTTTTCAAAACACAATTGGTTAACTGTAAAATCTTATTCTGTTTATTTATTTTATATATTATCATTATCTGTCCATTTATAATTTCCCCTGTAACTATAGTACAAGGGACATTATTATACTACCGGTATTTTATTTTATTATGTTACAGGAGATGATTGGCATACAGCTCAGACACAAGCAGACTCCAAATACCACATTATCCCCACTGTGGAGATGCAACTGTCCTTCTTTAACACAGTCAAGCCAGACTACAAGGCCCTTCCTCAGTAAGTACAGTATTTAAGATAAATATGGAGGTGGTAATTAAGAACTAAATATATAAAATGAACAAAACTTAAAAGATAAAAATTAGGATATTACTGTATATTTTTGCCAAACATGTTTGTACATAGATAGATAGTGCAAAGATGCCAAACTTTACTTGTAGATGCCAGAACAAAAACCGAAAAATTGAAGTATTCTGATATTATTGTGTATTTGGACCAAACATTTTTGCACATAATGTAGATACTTAGATAGATACATATGTTACTTGTAGACAAAAGATTGTTGCAAATCTTCCCACACTGAAGCTGAATGTATCTGATGAGAAGATTGTTATGCTGTCTGACTTTCTCCAAAACATTCCCCTACCCAGTCATAGTGAGAGTATACCAATGATGATGTCTGACAGTGTAGATGGGGGACTGAATGTTGATACAGTACATCCAGTGTTTGTAAGTATTTAACCAATTGTCACATCATTTCACAATGAATCATATTAAGATTTTATTGCATTCTCCATAACCCATCTTGTAATTAGGTGAAGTGGTATGTTATTAAAAGTTTGAAGGCCCTAAGATTTATGAATCAAATGAAATGAATGAAATCGTATACAATGAAATCAAATGAATTATTACAGAGTATGGAGGAAGTAGTGCTAGAACCATCATTGAATGACCTCAAGGCACTACGACGCTCTGTATGGAACAACTCAGTTATAAGACGACCAAGATTTAAACGAGATCAGGTTGACAGAACTGCCAAAAGATTATCTCACCTTGTAATTCCAGGTATTGAATTATTTTATGTTTGGAAATCAACTTACCATAAAAATAATGGAGTTCAATTATGTTATGTTGCCATAGAAAAAATCAAAGTGCTCAATATGTACATAACATCCAGAAAACCAGATCAACAATGACAATTTCGAAGCTAAATTTGATTGGTTGATCCATGGTTGATTGCAACATGCGATATGCACGCTCATCCGAATGATTGATTGATTGAATGATCAATGGATTGATTGTATGTTTGATTGTTTTGCAGAGGATGAGGAATATTATTCTGCCTCAGACCACTCTGATGAGGAAGTGGAGGAATGGGCAAGGTGAGTTTTTTACATTTATTTTTTCTCACTTTTCCTTGTTTATTTCACCTCCATACAAAATAAAAGGCTTCTGTTGTGATATGTAATTTTTCCTTTTTTCTCTGTAGGCTGTAGTCTCAAGTTTCATTTTTTAATTTTTTAGATGTAATATTTTTCAACTTTTCCGATACTAGAAATTCAGGGGTAGGTTGTTGCAGTTCAAATCGAGACGCCATATTTGTTGTTCAGGGTAAGTTTGTTATAGCCTTAAAAATACTTTGTGTTAGGTTAAATTTGTATCCATCACCAAATTTTTTTACAATTATGTATTAAGTACCTACTTCTTAGATAATAATTGTTTTCAATATATGTCAATGTGTAAAAGTCTACCCAAACTACCTGATTTCTCGATTCGTATTTCAGGTGAACCGACTATGCTGTGACTTTGCTTTGACTCTGCATGGCTATGGACTACAGGCAAGATTAGGTGGAATAGAGCTGGTGGATAGACTACATACAGGTATATAGCAATGCCAATGGGGAAGCATTATAGGGATTTCAAAAGGTATTAATCAACAAGGTACATAGCAATGCCAATGGAAAATCATAGAGAAATCACAAGGTATTATGAGTTTATCTTTGGCAAACAAAATCACTTAACTAGAGTAATCAATGTGTCTTCTCCACTTTTTTGTTGCATTTAACAGCCATACTTAAAACTTTATTAATTTACTATGTAGGTATAGAGGGCCAATACCTGGAGATTCTCAGTTCAAAGTCCGAGTCTGACCTTATGATGCTCACCTATCAAAGAGTGGAACCTGAGTGTCCTGATTTTGCTGGAGTTTATCAAAGTCGCGAGCATGATGTCATACTAAAAGGAACCAATCTGAGTGTGGTGTTTGATAGAAATGCTGTTCTGTACTTGAAGGGTTTTGTGGAACAGTTGTTAGCGAGGTAATTGGATATTACATAATCATCCTTAATCATAATCCCCAGGGTCTGACATCAGTGCAAACTCATAAGCTGGAGTATATGAAAATATATGATAAAATGCACAACCTTTGTAATTCAGTCTGGCATGTAGATCTATATTCCTTATGAAACAACTTGAAAATCCCTTCCACTATATAATCACCTTTAGATGTTAAACAAACACCCCTGGACATACATGTTGGGCCACAAAATGTTACCTATTCTGATTGAATCTGAAAATCATAAGGCTAACATTTTTACCCACTCTGTATAATAATCAATCACCCATTGAAAGTATAACATAACTCACAAGATACATGTAAGTAATTTTGTATTGTATTTTTCAGGATCCAACCACCAATTACTGAGACAGCTATCCCAGCAGTCCCTCCAGAGGAGGACAAGGCATCCCAGCAGCCTAGTATATTCTCTACAATGATGGAAACTGCCAGTTAGTACACTTTGCACTTTGAATCTTTTTTGCATTTGAATCTTTAATAACTTCACCAATTTAAAAGATATTTGGGATCTTGTATGAGATCATAGGGAATAGATTAATGGGTCAACTGTGCATTTTGCTTGCAATTTGGTCACCCCTTATAGATCTCATTCTGCCCTTAAGTAAAGTGGCACTTTATTCATTTGTAGCTGAACGTCCAGAGCCAGGGGGCACTAAGGTGAATGTGGCGACATCTTTTGATGAACTTGCAATTAAGTTGTGCAATGATGAAACCCGCTTTGCTGAGATACATATAAAAGGTACAATTTAGATTAGATTATTTGAAAACTTGTATTCTAAAAATAATACAAAAAGATATTCTCAATGATCATGTATAATATTCTTCTCAGTTCAGTCTTTCTCTCAAAAAGTTATATTATTTTCTGAGTTCAAAGATTTTTATAATTCCAGGAATGGAAGGCAAGGTACAAGTCAAGTACACACGCACTATATTACAAGGCAGGCTCAAAGATATTACAATAGATGACTCCAGATCTGAATATTATCCAAAGGTTAGTATTCGCATCAGAATATGCAATGCAGGGATTACATTTTGTGATTCAGGGGTTACCTGTTCGACTCAGGGCTCACATATTGCAAATCAGGGGCTGTAAATAAAAAGTACTTACTGGCTTACCAACACAACATGAGACATGAAAGAGGTGAGAATAGATAAATAAGAAACACTCAAACAGTAGGGTCCATTCACATGGTCAATCCCCGGAAGTGATTTGCTATTAACAGACAGGGGTGAATTTCATAAATGTACATTAACATTTCAGATTCTAGCCATAGAGGACAACAGTGTCTTCGATCTGAAAGTTGTTATAAACAATACTTCTCCACAACCCCCTGGAGACAATAAGAATAAGCCAAGGTATGTGATTAGCAAGATGTTTATTTTCCCTTAATGAATTCAAAACTGACTTTAATACAGCATCAAGTTTCAAAGGATGTAACTGTGTTTTGTTCATTAGGTAGTCCAGTATTGCAGCTGAAACAGATTTTTGAATGGCTGAAGTCCTTATATTACGGAGGTTTCCTTTGAAACAAAGATGTAAAAATAATCTGAAATGATTTTCCATTTATTCAATGTTAAAAATTGTGAATTGCACATTTGGTAAACTTGTATATAAAAAGAATAATAAAAACAATATGCTTTTGCTAATTAGGGAAAGAGATTCAAACAAGAAGCTTGGAATAGATGCCAGTGTTAAACTAAGAATTGGACGCATCTACGTGGTCTACTTGAACAAATTCATCATGGACATAGTGGTAGGTTAACTGCTTTGAAATGTTTTAATTTTCAACAACACACTGTGTGTTCATTTGACTTTCATGTAGTAATGCCTGGTGAAATACAGGGTAAATATTGTTTGAAATAAACATGTATGTGGAAAATATTGTGGAATTTGGAAAAATCGTATTCAGAGGTATTATCTTTACCCCATCCTAGTATGAGTTTCCTTATGGTACCATCAGCTCAACAAGGGGCATCGGTTACATAAATGTTTGTTCCCTTGCATTAGGTATGAAACTTCAAGCATTTTCAGGTGCTACCGTTCAGGTTAGGTGTTAATTGTAATGGGCTTTGTTTGGCACCTGTTACAGGCTAACCACTAGTCTATGAGATTAATAGTAAAATGTCCTGTGATTATAGACTGAACATACTGAACTGAACATACTGAATATTTCAATTTAATTTCAGCTTTATTTCTTAATAAAATACTGATACAAATATTTTGAGACTTGTAATGATTTACCTGATATATTTTAGGATTATGCTGAACCTTTCTACAACCCAGAGTACACACAGTCTGCTACTAAAGCTGCAAGACAAGCTGTTGCTAGACAGGTGAGGGTTAATCATTATCATCTTTTAGGGCAGGAAATTGTTAACTTTCTTTCTTTTTTCCAAATCAATCCAGATATCTTCTGGATACAAGCACATCATTTGTTTAAGGATGGATCAATGAATTTCAACTTCATATATTTTTTTCTCTAAGTACACCTGTTGGTAAATTTGTTTTTCCATTTCTATAATTTACAGTGAATAATCTTAATTTTAGAGAAAGTTCAAATTGTAGAAGCACCCCTGGTCCTTATGGCCCTTTTATAATACACACACTGCTGTACTCTCTAAGCTATAATTAAACATTTTCTGACAATATTTTGATTTTTACATTGTAGGTCCAGGAGATTCAAACCAGAGGAATGTGTGTATCACTCAACTTAGATGTGAAGGCTCCCACAGTTCTTGTACCTCAGAATTCCAAATCTGCAAATATCATACTGTTAAAGCTGGGAGACCTGAGCCTTAAGAACTACTTTGAGCAAAGTAAGATGTTGAAAGGAAACCAGTCATATGATCACATCTATATGCACCTGGACTATGTAGAAATTACAAGGTGGGTTATGGTTGCGTATATTGGCATGTCTTTTATGATGAAAAATATTATTAAAGTGATACAAATATGGGTTTCTTTAAAACCGACAGAAGATAAAACCAATGAAAATGACAGACAAAATTCAACTATTCAAATTATGATTTTAACGTGGAAGAGCTTTTTGGTAAAAACAGCCAAAGAAAATTCCGTTTCCAGCTACCAATCTCAAATCCATGTCTGACTGAATACATACACTTATATGGTATGTTACACCCTTAAAATGTTGTAGACATTAAAGTGTTGAATGTCTCCAAGCAATCATTAAGCCCATACCTGTTATACATGTTCCAGGGCTGTACTATCCATGGGAGGAAAGGTGGAACCTGTACATACAATAGTCGAACCCATACGTATGAGGGTTGATGTTAAACGTGCCATAAAACCTGTCATAGTTGAGACAGGAATTGACATATCAGGCAGTCTACAGGAGATTAAGGTACACTTTATGATATACTCATGTATTATCTTTTTCATTCCAGAAGTACGAAATTCACCAATCTATAGTCCATCATTTAAATTAGTAAGATTGTATTAATTCTAGTGAATAAGTTTGTGACTGTTCAGTGCTATTTGGCCAATTTTATATTCTCGATCAGGAGTACATTTTGATTCTTACAGATAAAAAATAGTCCGAACAATTGTTGTTGTAGACTTGCATCTGTGAATGAATGCTATATAATCAGTTATAACTTGAATGACATATTCACTTAGAGCTCATGTTTTTATAACTTAGTCACCAAATAGATATATGAAGGTAATTGCCATTACAAGGAATTCACATGTATTACCTCACCCCAGTTCTGCAGTTCTGATTTCTTTTATATACTATTATTTTATTGATTTGGAAATAGCTAGTTGGGCTAGTGTGGTACTGATGTCATTTAAATTAATATTAACCATCCCACTGAACAAAGTTTGGAAGGGATATAGAGAAATGGCTCATCCATCTCTTTGTCCATTCAAATTTGTTTGTCTGTCTGTGTTTTTTTCTAATTTTTATTATGGTTTCGGGATGCAATTGTTTTTGATTTCCATTTTCAAAATTTTCACAACAGAGCTCCTCGGTAGGGCTCTAGGAAGATATGATTATACTGATAAAACCCAGAAGAAATGAAATATAGTTTTCAAATCAAAGCTTAAGACATACATTAGTCTTATCCCTTTCCTTAACAATGTATTATATTTCAGTGTTGTGAGGAAAGGGAGGTTATTAACTTATTTTGATTTTCAATGATTCTTTAAATTATAAAAAAATATTTAAAAAAAATACCCATTTCAAATTGTTCAAAATTAATTTATAATAAAATTACAATGTAAAGGCACAGCCGTCAGAAAAAGGTGGTATATTGTTTACACAGGAATGTTAAATTCAAGCTACTAACCAATCAATCCCCCCCCCCCACTAATGCTCATCCACAAAACATACCAATATTTCATTTTAAAATTTCTGCATGTTGCTTTTTACAGGTTAACTTGACACAGCAAGATTTGAAGATTGTCATGGCAACACTTAGAGAGAACCTCTCTGATGGATCTCCACAGTTAAAACCAGGTAAGAAAGAAAAATGAAAAGAAAACTGACAGTGACAAACAGACAGGTTAAAAGAGGACTAAAAATGGAAGAAACAAACAAGATATTTTAATTTTGAATCTTACTTATATTATTCGTCAAAGATAAGAAGGCAGCATTATATTTTAACAAATTAATGAATCTACTTTTGTACTCCCAGAGAGCAATGAGGTGTTTCTGCCTGATATAGCTGAGGAGACTGAGGAGTCGACTGATGCCACTGTGTCACCAAGGGTGAACACTGAGCCTGGGGGTCAAACAAAGGTCAGCTTCATTATGGATGGAATGATCTTGACCTTGAAAACTGATGTAAAACAGGGCGACTTAATGGTATGTATTAATATTTTCTCGAGGTTTTTATTTAATTTTACTACTTGTATACTTATATTACTTTGTACGGATTGAAATTTTGAAAAAATGGCATGTTTGTTGATAGTTTAAAAACTATTATACCACTCATACTGCACAGTTAATCTTGATTTCAACCCTTTTTTATGGGAGAATACTATGAAGGCCACGCCTCATGTAAATAAGATTGCACTGAGCTACTTTACTGTATTGTAAATGTACATGTATATCTCTGATTCAGATCATGTCACCGGGGTCTGGCAATACATCTGATGGTTTGTCAAGGTTTGAAATTGGCCGCATTGACATGTCAGTTTTCATGAATCCTGACACTTCCATGGAAGTAGGCATCAGACTGCAGTCTCTTGCCATGGATGATATACGCCCTGACAGTCAGCTTGCTATCAAGAGGTATGTGTGCTGTGTGATGCTTAGTCAAGGAAAATAATATTAAACTTTGCATGGGGCCTTTAATTCAGAGGTTGAGTCAAGTATCAATGAGTCTCTTTTTCATTTTGTTTGTGGGGGTAAGAAAAATTGTTCAAAAAAGTTTTAGTGAAAAACAATAGCAATTCATTTCATTGACCATATTGAAACAGATTTTCCACTTGTAGAGTATACATCAAATATATTGTATTCCTTTATGATTTCACTCCCATGCTTGTCGATCCATGAACCCATTGACATTATTTTAATATTTTCACTCACCATTTATTGTTATTATAGGATATTGCAGTCTCATCTTGACCTGGCCCACCCTCAACAAAAGAAAGCTGACCTGCCCCCTATGGTCGATTTTACTTATTTACAGGACCCAAATGGAAATATGAATGGTATGTTTACTTGTTATCTTTATAATATAGATTACAGACCTAGTGGTCAAAATGTAGATTATGAACTACTTGCTGCTACTTTCAATATTTATCTGTACATGCGGAAAAAATTCAGCCTGCCCAAATCAAAGCCATCTTTTTTGTTTGCATTAAGCCAACAGTCCTACACAATAGATGATTTCAGTATATATGATGAAACCAGGTTGAATACATCTACTTCATTTCCTTATGTCCAGTGGATGTCTTACTTCCTTTCATCAGGTCCTCATACATGTATATTTCCTGATCATTGCAGTTGCCCTTAACATGGAGAGAATGCGGGTGAATGTCTGCATTAAATACTTCATGACAATTATCCAGTTATTTACTGGAGCATTTGAAGATGCCACCCCTGCTCCGACCCCTGAACCCCCTGCTCCTATCCCCAGGATTCGTGAATCTCGCAGACTTTCCGCTCGGGATAGCATGCGACGGAGTATGCGGGGTAGTATGTGGGTTGACCCAGTGCAACTTGAAGAGAAGCAGGCAACTTTAAGAATTCGTGGAGAGATCAAACATCCAGAGATTGTCCTATTTGCCAACCCCAGTGAAAAACATAGTAGAGTGCTTGTCATGAAAGTGAGTGGGAAATAGTAACTTTTTAAGATTTTCTTGTCATGTACTTCACAATAGTACATGACATGACGTTATTAGTATTATAACCACCGTTAATGACCAGGACTGAAACACCAAGAAAATCTTATGCTCTGAATGATATCTAATTTCCCGGGGAAAATTGCTGTTCATCAATTGCATTCTTGACCAGCAATATTGACCGCCGCTATGACGTCACATATTGCTCAGGTCGATAAAGTAAAATGAATGCCTTCTAAACTAGCACTAAAACCCCTAGAACCCCTAGATGTGCTGTTGTGATTATAAATTAGTAACATCTCTGATCACTTGCTTTAAAATGGTATATATATTTCAGACAAATATAGTGTATGACTATGAGCAGATTGGTGAGAAGATGAGAGTGACTGGATCAATGGCAGATCTACAAATCATATCTGGTGTATATGGAAAGAAACAGGAAATCTCATATAAGGTAGAATTAATGTTCTTTGTTTTCTTTTATTAAGACACTTAAACATGTATCGCTTTTGACAACAGATAATTTCTTTATTTTGTTATGAAAAAAATCCAAGAGGTAGTAGATTAAGATAATCATAGAAATATATGAATTCATAATTCAGATGGGTAAAACAAAGATACTGTTCTGGGGTTATTGCTAACAAGCCTAATTTGCAGTCCAGGATTTTATATTTTCTTAATATGTACCTGTTAATATTTTTGAATACATCATGAGTATTATTTGAAAATATGAAGTCTAACTTAATATAAATATTGCATTGTTTACTGTTTTGTTGTGCAGGTGCTGTTGCCATGCAACATTGAGGTAGAGAAAGCATTTGCCTCAGAAAAGTCAGGTCTAAATATTGATGCCAAACTGTCCAAGATCAACCTCCATCTGTCTGTTACCACAGTCAACATCATCCTTGGAGTCATAGAGGCAATTAATGCACCTGTCCAGGTAAGAATTGTGTTTTTGACAAGCAGTATTTCACCTACATATATAGTTGCACATGGCTAATGTGCAGTTTTGAGTCATTGATACTTTGAGAGGGATCATCCTTTCTTCCATATTTGGGAGATATAGATTTAGCCTCTCCTACTTTATATTGTATGTGACACATGATATATATTAACTATTTCCCTTACATTTGGAGGTTTCCGTACACATTAGAGCATTGATTGCATAAATATGTATTTTGTTCTCTCTCAATCTTTTCTATTGCACTCTAATATTTATTAAAACGTATAATCAATAAGTCTAATGTGCTATTTATGTTTATTTCAGCCTGTTGTAGAAAAGGAGGAATCGACCAAAGAGAAAACAGATGATACAAACTTGTGGAATGTCGTCCCTGTTACTCAAGACAAGTGGCTCACTAAACAAGGTATTTCTTGACATATCAATCAATCAATCAATCAATCAATCAAAAAGCAAGGCTGATAAATTGTTTAGTAAGGGGATGTGACATAGAATGAATTATTATGGGTAGTATATTATTTTGATATACAGTATTTGTGTTTTAATTAAAATAAAATTACAAAAATGATGAATGTTCTATTAATTCAGATCCACCGAGGAAAGCCTCGACGTTCCCAAGCCCAGCAGAAAATTTGAGTCTGGAGACGTTGACACTCTCTGCCCCTGAGGTTATTGTTATGTATGAGAGTGAGGCTCGTAATTGGCATGTCCCTATGCTGTGTCTGCAGACATCCTTACAGGGTGATCTACATGATTGGTCACGTCAGGTATATTATGTTTTGATATATGCAGTCTTCTATCTAAGCTGAGTGTTCGTACAGATCTGTATTTGTATATAAGGCAGCTCAGCCTAAATTACAAGCTTGATAAAATCTTAATGGTTTTCTGGCTTGTAAAAGGGACTGTATTTGATACATTGAAATTTTACCCAATGATTATTAGGGGTAAGCCATTAGTATAGGGGACCTAGACATTTAAAATATATCATTGTTATTAAAACAGTGCCTTGACCAAACTCCTGGGAATGACCAGAAGTGTTTTGATGTTTTGATAAGCAGGTTTTCACTTTTAACGTTTTTAACATTCAAGTCAATGGGAGAATAATATGCATAGTCAGGATAAATGTGCAATTCCTTTACATTTTCTCTTCATGTTTTCTCCAGATGTGGCTCCAAGCAGAGTTGCATCTTCAAATGAGTTTCTTCAATGAGAAGCTTGCCATGTGGGAGCCTCTCATTGAGCCTGTCATGGAGTATGAAGACCACTACAGGCCGTGGGAGATGCTCTTTAAGGTATGTGGACACAAAAATGTATTGCTTTAAGTAGAACATGCACTCATCTTTTACATTTCTAATAAAGAATGATACAGGATTCTCTATTCCTTGAATTCTGGATTCTCTATTCCTTAAATTCTGGATTCTCTATTCCTTAAATTCTGGATTCTCTTTTCCTAAAATTCTGGATTCTCTATTCCTTAAATTCTGTATAAGTCATGTACAGCAAAACCTGTCTGACGGAACACCTTTCTTCATGGAACAATAAATATATGCTAATTCAGCAATTTTTGAGTTGGCCCAGAGTATGGAATAATTTTTCCATTCTGGAAAGTGTTCCTTGTTTGCACAACAGAAAGAGACCACAGGGGTTTTATACAATTAATTTATTGTTACCAATTCTATGGTAGAACTATATTCATAGAAGTGAATCTTTATATAACCAATATTTCTAATCCTGAATTGCCCAGATGATCCAAGCTGAGAGCCATCCCATAACATCAGAAGTTGCCCAGCCAAAGTTCCAGGCCAGAGATGAAGTAGATTCACATGTCCATAAACTCATGTGCCGTGCAAGCACCCGTAGGTCTACTAGAGTGCCACCTATTCCTGAGACAGAAACTGAGACAACGGAAACTGAAACGGAGAATGAAATGACAATTGTGCGCCCTCTATCGAGACGGAAGAAACTCAGTTCAAGATTCAGGCGAAAAAAGAAAGGTTTGATTTTGAAACATTTATATTAATATTATAATTAGTAGACTAGTGATAACTAAAAAAAAAAAAAAAAAATAGTTGTTTTGCCTTTAGATATTTAAGAGGTAATTAATAAGGTTTAAAATGAATAATTCAAAACATGAAGGTTACAATTACAAATTACACAGAAACATTCTATGGCACACTGTACGAAATCTGTGATGGGCCTCTGCACCAAACATCCCTGTTCAGAACTCAGTCGTGGTTGCTCATTTTTGTGGAAGCTCATTGATGAATAAAGATATTACAGTGCACTGTAGAGTAAAAAATCATTTTTATCCCAAAAAGCTGACATTGTGGACGATAAGGATGAAAGTGAAACAGAATCGGAAAATGAGAATGTGGATAAAGGGCTGCTTGATAAACTTGGCCACCTGTTTACGAGCGACAGTAGCGAAGATGCGGATGTATCAGATCAGGAAGATGAAGTGTCCATACCACAAACATCGCCTGTGTTTCTACACAAGAGTCGTGAAGCACAAGACTCTGGTACATGTTATTTCTAAATTGATGTACCTGTCTGTCAATGTCTCAGTGGCTATGTTTGCCTTTTACTTCAAATTTTAGGACATGATTTTTTCATTTAGAGTGATTTATAATAAAAGAGCCGAATCACCTCAAAATTTAATTAATTTTCTATTTAAAGTTTATTTCATATTTGAATTCAAAATTTTTAAAGATAAAGACAATATCTCTTGATGCATCCATTCATCAATACAAAATTAACATGGCCATTTTGACTTCTATGTAACACTTTAAGCATGTTGTAGTGTATCTATCCCTAATACGCACCACATTTACCAGCTGTATGTAATATGGTATTGATGTTTTATTTAACCTAGGACTATATGGTCATCATACCCTTTGCATTCGTTTGACTTCACTTCTTAAAAGAGAGCTTCGTCTTCACTCTTTCAAAGTAAAATAAACCTGTGAACTCACCGCGCCAATCAGTGTTCGTCGGCCAAATTTGACCGACGTTCTATATATGGTCATTCCTTCTGACGTCATCGTTGGGCCCGGAATTGACCAATGACATGCGCATATTTAATTAGAACGCATTTGGTGTATGTTTCTTCAAGCTCGCTAATTGGTGGAAGAAAGGTCAGCGCGTAGGTAAAAGTGATTTATTACCCAAACTGCCACCGGTACCCGCCGCGGGGGCGGGGCTACTAAACTGTCATATGGTCTCTACTGGCAGAGTGTAGTTTAACTAGACTCTGCACGCAGGGTATGGTCATCATAGTTTTACACATACAACTCTATTTATTGATATTTTTATATTTTTTAATCTTGAATGCTCTTTTGTAGGTAGAGGAAGTAGTTTTATTCAGTCATTTCCATTTCTTTTCATTTTTTCATTTTTTTCAGAATGACTATTTTTTGACATTTTATGCATGCAATTCAAAATTATTAAAGCTTGTTGAATGATCTATGATAGTAAAATCTATGCTGTTTTTAACATTCAATTAATTTTAATTTGATTGCTTGTGTGATGAATGCATGCTACTAGAGTAGAGCTCAATCAATGTTTCTTATATTTTAAATACATTTGTACATCATACATATATTATTAATACAAGTGCATTATTTGATTTAAACCTAAATCATAAAAACTATCTACCGTTTGAGCTTCACTTTCATTTTAGATATCTTGTTCCTGTGTATTAAATTCTACCTAATAAAATTGAGGATTGTATATGAAGAAAATATGATGCACATAATATATCATCTGAGTTTTATATTCAAGCATATTTAATCCTCTATATCTTAACATGTTCCTTGTGTGTTTTCTAACAACTTTAATGTTAATATATGAAGTATATTTAATAGTTTATTTTTTTCTTATCCATGATTGTTTATTTCCAGTGTCATCAGAAGTTGATGTGGTTGATGGTGGGGCACTGGACACAGAGCCATCTGGTGGTGAAGTGTCTCCTGTTGAGCCAGTTGATATGTGCACCTATCTAGTGGTAGACTCACGGGATATGTTACTCCTCAACCTTACCCCCCAGGCCATGGACATACTCTTAGATGTCTCACAGGTACCATGTTTACCCAAGTTTACAATGCAATAATTCTAATTCAAAGATGACCGTGCTCTATTCGAATTTCTCAACCAATCAGAATGCAGCATAGCCAATATAGAACGTTCTCTAATTCTCCATAGATGCACGACCATGCTCTATTCAATCTGCAATTTGCATTGTTTTGAGTGACGTCACATCTCAGCTGCACATCTGGGGCTCTGTCCGGGGATAGCATGCGTATTCTTCCTTCATGCCCGTTCCACAGACACGGCTTTTACTAATTTTTATGTTTGAATCGGAATAAATAATGATAGGCCATTCAATATGGTGAAATTCAGCACTCGTTGGACAGAATGTTAGTACAAATGCACTCACCTTCGGTTCGTGCTTTGTACAACATTCTGTCCAACTCGTGCTGAATTTCACCATATTGAATGGCCTATCATTATTTATTCCTTAAATCAAGAACAAAATGTGGAGAAAGTAAATGCTGCTGAAATTACATATTTTTCATTATTTTATGTTATATAAAAAAGGTTTCGCTTTGATTTTGGGAAACTTAGATTTGAATATCAATGTTAATGGGCTAATTTTTTCTATAAAATTGATACCACATTTTCATGTTTAATTGAATTCAGACATTTCTGTTTCCCCATCTAATGTTACTAAGATAATGACCTGATATGAATTGCAATTATTTTACATTCCAGTTTTAACTGAATAAAATAAATGTATCACTCTGTTGACTAATATTTTAATGTGTTAAAATAATGTTTTATAACAATATATTTTTGTATTTCAGACATTCTCTAGTGGACCTAAAGAATTGTCTAAGTCAGTACTAGACTTGCCCATGTTTGAAATGACCAGCCATCTTGGTATTGGATGTAAAGCAAACTTGACTCTACATAGGTCAATTAAGGTAAAATTCTGACTAACAATCTCAATGGCTCAACCATGCCTGGTCTTTGTATTATTGCTCATATAGTACTAAATATATACAGTTGAGGTATTTAAGTAGAGGCCATGCCAGTTAATTTTTAAACCATGCCAGTTGATTTTTCGGCATGTATAGGAAGATAAATTGACAACTGGTCCATAATTCAGTTTTAATCAGTAGGGTTGAAATCTATTTTTTCATTTTTAAAATAATTTAACCGGAATAAATTAGTATAAGGAAACTAATGGAATGTTTAAATTGCACTTTTATTGACTTTTTTCTCAGCATGTTTGATTGTTAACCTCCTCAAGGTTTGAGATAGAACTTGGATTGAAGAACCCGCAAAATTGCATGTATGGGGTTTAACTGAAATGCCCATTCATTTCATGGGTGTATTATGGGTTGTTTTATGGGTCTTTCTCAAACCAATGAAATATTTCCAAGCTCCTTGACATTTGTATACTTGGATTGGAGAACCCGCAAAATTGCATGTATGGGGTTTAACTAAAATGCTCATTCATTTATGGGTGTATTATGGGTTGGTTTATGGGTCTATCTCAAACCAATGAAATATTTCCAAGCACCTTGACATTTGTATACAGGCAGGTAAAGAACATCTTCATAACCTGACCCGAGTGGATAAACCTGACTTTGATGATGAGGTAGATGGAGGGTTAAAGGTCAAGGACACAGACAGGTAGTTCAGAGGTCAAGGAGATATTGAGATTCAGCATTTTGTGTTATCATTGTGTTATTGTGTAGTCAATAATCGATTGATTTGGACTGAGTTATAATTCAAGGAAATCTACTTGGGAACCTCATGTATTTGAGGGGCTCTGTAGTGTAGAAACTGCTTATAAAAAATAATTATACAAATATTGAATATCCGAATTAAATAGTGAAATGCTGAATCATCAATATAATATCATCATTATATTGATGTTTTCCTTCATGTATGCCTACATCAAATATGGCCATGATATATGTGGAGGTCACATCCACAGTATATCATGTGTATTTGATATAGGAACAGTACATAAACATATATGCTTTGTTCAAGCTAGGAATTGAAATGACAATATGGAAATGAACATAATATAGTATCTTGTGGGGTAAACTGCCAGGCCAATAAGTTGCCTAAAGCTATTTGAAAGTGACTACAGCTCAAGGTGTCTGACATATGACATATACAGTATATTGATACCATATTGTTATTTCATTTGAGTTTGACTGAGTAGTATAATATCCATGGTGTACTTGTATAGCATCCCTCACATTTCAAGATGGAAATAGGACTTTTCCATATTAGTAGTACTATAGATTAGTTAGTGATATAGGTGTTGTTCAATTGTAGAGTTTGGAGGAATTCATACCGTGAGTGCTTAGAACTACGTTCTGCATAGTTAGTTAATGGAAAAATCATGATTATTTAAATTCAACTTTGAGAAACAAACTCCAACTCATGGCCACTCTCTGGAAACCAATTGTACACTCAAAATAAAACGTGGGCTCTTTTTAGAAAGCCAGCATCAATCAAAATCAAAATGATGATTTTTCCAACCTACTGCTTTGTTAAATTCTTATTTTGAATTTTTATATTGCACTAACAAATCTGATGGGTTTTTTATGGGGGGGGGGGGTTATAAGTTGATTAGGTGAATAACTAAAACGCAGCATTATATAAAGAAACATTATACAAGGCTGTATGCATATTGCACTAATATACAGTAAAACCTGTCTTAGTGGAACACCTTTGGTACCTCTAAAAAGTGTTCCACTTATAGACTCTGGGGTTCATTTAACATTGAGTCTCTTGGTCTTTTGACTCTGAAAAGTCCACTTCTAGAGGTGCTCCACTTCTAGAGGTGTTCAACATTACAGGTTTCACTGTATAGTTAAATGTACATGAAAGAATAAAATCCTAACTTAAACCGGAATAATTTGCTATTTGGTTGCATTGCATGCTGCATTATATTAAATGAATCTATATTTCTGTTCCATTCGCAATAACTACAGGTGGATTTAGCATTACACAATATGATTACATGTTAAAATATCTATATTATGCATTGTGGTTGAACTTGCTGCATTTCCAGCTATGATATGTAACAGCTATCTACATATTCTCAAATAAATAAGATGCAAATGCTGATATATTTTAAATGATAACTGCTATCTATATCTTCTACATGAGATGCAAATGCTGATATATTTTAAATGATAACAGCTATCTATATCTTCTACATGAGATGCAAATGCTGATATATTTTAAATGATAACTGCTATCTATATCGTTTACATGAGATGCAAATGCTGATATATTTTAAATGATAACAGCTATCTATATCTTCTACATGAGATGCAAATGCTGATATATTTTAAATGATAACTGCTATCTATATCTTCTACATGAGATGCAAATGCTGATATATTTTAAATGATAACTTCTATTTATATCTTCTACATGAGATGCAAATGCTGATATATTTTAAATGATAACTGCTATCTATATCGTCTACATGAGATGCAAATGCTGATATATTTTAAATGATAACTGCTATCTATATCTTCTACATGAGATGCAAATGCTGATATATTTTAAATGATAACAGCTATCTATATCTTCTACGAGATGCAAATGCTGATATATTTTAAATGATAACAGCTATCTATATCTTCTACATGAGATGCAAATGCTGATATATTTTAAATGATAACAGCTATCTATATCTTCTACATGAGATGCAAATGCTGATATATTTTAAATGATAACTGCTATCTATATCTTCTACATGAGATGCAAATGCTGATATATTTTAATTGATAACAGCTATCTACATATTCTCAAATAAACAAGATGCAAATGCTGATATATTTTAAATGATAACAGCTATCTATATCTTCTACATGAGATGCAAATGCTGATATATTTTAAATGATAACTGCTATCTATATCTTCTACATGAGATGCAAATGCTGATATATTTTAAATGATAACAGCTATCTACATATTCTCAAATAAACAATATGCAAATGCTGATATATTTTAAATGATAACAGCTATCTAGTATCTATATCTTCTACATAAGGTGGATATTTCGTTACTAATCACTGCATTGTTTTATCAAATGATATGTGTTATAAATGAAAAGTGAAAATTCTTTTTGCTTTAATTTGATTTATAAATAATTCAAGTTATGTGGCAATCATCTGCTTTTCTTTAGAATATGTATGTATATATTATAATTTTTTAAACAAAAGCTAGAATATTTTATTGCCCGAATGTTTATACAAGTATATGTAAAATAAATTCTAATATGAGTGTCCCCATTGTAGTATAAAATAGCCGAACTGAATCTCTGAATATGTATCTTATTTTGTAGTGATGAAGATGAAGTGGACGGCCTTGGGTTCATCGCTCGTGCCCTAGCTGGGGTGGGACATACCGCTATATCTGCTGGGGCCTTCATTTCACCTGATGACGATATAAACCCTCATGGTACACATACTGAAGTCCAGCCAGATACTATGCACTTAGAGGTATGTTGTAAAAGGTAGCATTGAAAGGGGGGGGGGCATAAAGCCATATCTGCTGGGGCCTTCATTTCACCTGATGATGATATAAACCCTCATGGTACACATACTGAAGTCCAGCCAGATACTATGCATTTAGAGGTATGTTGTAAATTGAAAGTGGGGGGGGCATACAGTTGTATTTACCTTTGTACTTTGGAAAACTATACCCTATGGGTAATCTTGGGGATAAAAAAACTGTAGAGCTAGAGAGATTATCACATATGATATACTAGTTACACTGTTTCTTGAATGTCAGTCCATAATGTCCCTTAGCATTGAAGATATCCCTAACTATCTGTGAAGATGTTTCTATATTTCGCAAGTCTAGTAGGAACCCCTTTTAATATTATCTCATTCCAGATATAGATATCTTCACTATCATTATGGCCCTAATTATCTTATTTCATGTTTAAATATTACAGATAGATGGCTTTAGTGACTTGTACAATTTGTCACACAGAAAGGCTGTGAAACATCTTATACCACTCTCTCCTGAAAAGGTACGAAGTTCTTAAGTTATATTTTACTCCAGTTTAGGCTCTGAACATCTGTGTTTTTAGTTACTGAATTTTTAATCTTGCTCAAGCACAACTCCTGTTAATCCCTGGGACCCAGACACTGATTATAGAAATCCCAGAAAGTTATTTGTATTTTATTGAAATAATGAATACACGTCAGACTATAAGTGGATTGAGTGAGAAGTGAGTTTTTATGTCACCACCAAAAGTGGTGACATATTGTTATGGTCTCCGTTTTTTTATGTCACCACCAAAAGTGGTGACATATTGTTATGGTCTCCGTTTTTTTTGCGACGGCGGTTGGTGGTTGGCGTCCGGCGTCCGGCGGTTGGCGTCCGGCGTCTGTAACAATTTCTTACAACTTCCTATAACTTAACAAATACTGTTTAGACTGACTTCAATTTTTTTCTTAATCATCTACATGTTCTCAGAAGTTCAAATCTGACTTTAGATTTGACATTTGACCTTCAATGACCTTCTCAAGGTCAAAAAGGTCTTTTTTCAACTTGCTTCACATTGACTAAATTTTTTTTCAAAATCATCTACATGTTCTCAGAAATTCAAATCTGACTTTAGATTTGACTTTAGATTTGACATTTGACCTTCAATGACCTTCTCAAGGTCAAAAAGGGTAAAAAAGGTCTGTTTTCAACTTGCTTCAAATTGACTAAATTTTTTTTTCAAAATCATCTACATGTTCTCAGAAATTCAAATCTGACTTTAGATTTGACATTTGACCTTCAATGACCTTCTCAAGGTCAAAAAAGGTCTGTTTTCAACTTGCTTCAAATTGACTAAAAAATTTTTTTTAAATCATCTACGTGTTCTCAGAAATTCAAATCTGACTTTAGATTTGACTTAAGATTTGACATTTGACCTTCAATGACCTTCTCAAAGTCAAAAAAGGTCAAAAAGGTCTTTTTTCAACTTGCTTCAAATTGACTAAAAAAATTTTTCAAAATCATCTACATGTTCTCAGAAATTCAAATCTGACTTTAGATTTGACATTTGACCTTTAATGACCTTCTCAATGTCAAAAAAGGTCAAAAGGTTTTTTTTCATCTTGCTTCAAATTGACTAAAAGAATTTCAAAATCATCTACATGTTCTCAGAAATTCAAATATGACTTTAGATTTGACTTTAGATTTGACATTTGACCTTCAATGTCCTTCTCAAGGTCAAAAAAGGTCTAAAAGGTCTTTTTTCAACTTGCTTCAAATTGACTAATTTTTTTTTTCAGAATCATCTACATGTTCTCAGAAATTCAAATCTGACTTAAGATTTGACATTTGACCTTTAATGACCTTCTCAAGGTCAAAAAAAGGTCAAAAAGGTATGTTTTCAACTTGTTTCAAATTGACCAACTTTTTTTTCAAAATCATCTACATCTTTTCAGAAGTTCAAATTTGACTTTTACAAGTTCTCAGAAGTTCAAATCTGACTTTAGATTTGACCTTTGACCTTCAATGACCTTCTCAAGGTCAAATGGTCTTTTTTCAACTTGCTTCAAATTGACTAATTTTTTTTTCAAAATCATCTACATGTTCTCAGAAGTTCAAATCTGACTTTAGATTTGACATTTGACCTTCAATGACCTTTTCAAGGTCAAAAAGGTCTTTTTTCAACTTGCTTCAAACTTACTTAATTTTTTTTTCAAAATCATCTACATGTTCTCAGAAGTTCAAATCTGACTTTACATTTGACATTTGACCTTCAATGACCTTCTTAATGTCAAAAAAAGTCAAAGAGGTATTTTTTCAAATTGACGAATTTTTTTTTCAAAATCATCTACATGTTCTAAGAAGTTCAAATCAAACCTTCTTAAGGTCAAAAGGTATTTTCCAACTTGCTTTAAATTGACCAAATTGTTTTAGGTGGTGACATTTTGTCATGTTAATGCCTTGTTAACATGATGGCAGTAGTATTTTTGTAAATCTCAACCACTAGTATAAAGTCAAAGTGTATTTTTTAATTTTTCCAGAATCTCACTCGCTATGTGGTAATGTTGGAAGTTGATGTTAAACATGGCAAGAAACAAGTCACAATACGATCTCCATTACAGGTTAGGATATTATGCTGGTTATAACTCTTAATCAGGGTTTAAAGTCAACTTACAAACCCTTTGTTTGCTATTTTGTTTATTATTATTTCTCAGCTGTGTGCTGGTCATATTTTTACATCAATCTGTTTTAAACAGAAAGTGACATCATACTAGATAATGTATAAAGAATCTTTTTTATTCCACATATCATTAACTTTAATGGATATTGAACAAATATTTCACTCTATTGAGGTGAATACCTGTACATCTTTCACAAGTGATATTCCACGAAGCCCGAAGGGCAAGTGGAATATCACCTTGTGAAAGTGCTACAGGTATTCACCTCAATAGAGTGAAATATTTGTTTTATTATATCACTGTCTAGCTAAACATCCCTAATATTATTAAGTCATTAAGTCTTCAGATATTTTTACGAATCTGCTTGACATGTGACCCGGTTTTGACCAATCATACTGTCGCTAGCTAGATAGTGATATAATAAAGTACCATATCTCATCAGAAAATATTTTACTGTCATAATAATCCTTGTATCAATTTTGGTTACCAGCTGTATAACCATCTTACGATACCGGTCGATGTTTATTGTCTTACGGAACATTTGAAAGTGAGGCTTGGAGACGAAGTGCCATCTGGTGAGGAGAAAATGCATCTTGCCACACTTGAGCCAGGTCAAAGTTTCCCAGTTCCACTTTATGCTGCCTACCACTGTAGACTGTTCATAGCACCTACAGAAAAGGGGTAATCATACCATACATTTCTTGTTCTGTTTATGTGTTTATCTTACCATAAGTTACAATAATTATTGAACTGATACATGAATCAAAATTACATCATGAAATAGTGTTTATTTTAAGAAACACACAATTTTTAAACATATCCATTCCATATTGAGAAAATTATATGAATTATATTTTGTAAAATATCAAACATGTTTAGTCCAAAGCAAGTACAAACTGCAGGATTTTCAACCATGTAATTTGTACATATTCCTTTTAGGTAAGACATATTACTGAAATCAATTGTACATGAAAAGTATTTGAAAATTCAGAATTAAATCTTCACTTACTTAAATGTAATATTCTTATTTCTAGGTACCAGCAAAGTTATAATGGTTTATGGTGGGCAGACTTGTGTGATGCTACTGGGAAGGATAAATACTTTCACTGTCTCTCACTAGAGGGCGAAAAGAAACCATTCCATTTCAAGGTCAGTAGCAAAAACAATTCTATCTGTTTGGAATAGATTTAAGATAAATTATCAGGATATTACAGATTAGATTCAGGGAAATATTCTGATAAATCTTCAAATAACTGTTTTATTGAAAGTTATTTTACCCAAATATTTGATTTAATTGTTTGATTAAAGGTCAAGTAAAAATATTCATGAATATAAAGTATTGCAACATCAGAAGTATTGACCAAAATACATACTAAAACATAAAACCTGTAATTCAAAAGGGCTATTCTGTTGTAGGTTGAGTGTATGCCTGGTGAAACTAGTAAGAAGTCTACTCTAGGCCTGCCTAAAGCTATGACTATACCACATTATGACATTCACCTATATCCCCCAGTAAGACTACATAACTACCTGCCATATGATGTGCAGTATAGTGACCAGGTAGATACAATAAGATCATCTAAATAGCCAAGATGCAAAAGTTCCAAATTAAGTTTAACAAGTTTAAGCCTCTGTCTTATTAATTCAGCAATATAAGTGGATCTTTTAAAATGGAAAACCTTTTTGGATGTTAAACAAATGATTTCATTATCCCAGCTTTGTGTAAAAGGCCCTGAAAAAGGCCTTGGCTACTGATTATCCACTCCAGCTCTCAGTGTTTATTGCTTTCGTTTAGGTCACAGAAGGATTAGAAGCAGCTTCTATAAATCAGGGGGAAAATGTATCTCTTCATACGGTTGACCTCCATAAAGGTGAACAACTGAATATAAAGGTAATGATTATTAAAAAATATGATTCCAATGGGATATGGTTCTCTGTAGAGGTTCATCCTCTCTACCTCTTGGGCTTCTTTATCTCATTTCAACTCATTTTAATTCTTATAAAGTTACTATTCTGCGAAAAGCCTCGACATTATTGATTAACATTGACAAGTGAGACTTGTACTCATCCACTAGAAAACATAAAATCAATTTGATGTTACGTTTAAATGATGAATATTCAACCAGGCCATATTTCAAACAGATGGAATTCATCACAAAAATAGAACATATTACCTTATCCCGTGCCAGGACTATAGTCCTGTAACGAGCGCATTCTTTTGCCTGTACGATTACAACTTGGGAGAATTATCTACACCCCCAAAATGCAATCTGATTTTCGACGCCGTTTCGGTGCCAAATTTCGGTGCCGTTTCGGCACCAAATGGACTGACTAGTCCAGTAGCAAATTTTGGTGTCGAAAGGTTTCGGTTCCGGAACGGTGTCGAAACGGTGCCGAAACAGTGCCGAATGAATATTCGACCAGGCCATATTTCAAATAGATGGAATTCATCACAAAAATAGAACATATTACCTTATCCCGTGCCAGGACTTTAGTCCTGTAACGAGCGCATTCTTTTGCCTGTACGATTACAACTTGGGAGAATTATCTACACCCCCAAAATGCAATCTGATTTTCGACGCCGTTTCGGTGCCAAATTTCGGTGCCGTTTCGGCACCAAATGGACTGACTAGTCCGGTAGCAAATTTTGGTGTCGAAAGGTTTCGATGCCGAAACGGCGTCGAATTATATTGGCTGTGTATGCCCCTTACACTTAAGATACCTACTTCAATAGATTCCTGGGTATTTTAGTACCAAAAATGGAGGAATTTCATGGTTGAAATAAGTTAAATATTACACGCAAATATTGCGATCAAAAATGAATAAGACGTTCGCAGGACTATAGTCCTGGCACGGGATAAAATATTACCTACATTGACTACCATCGATAAACTCAAATATTTCAGGTCCTAGATTACATGAGGCTTGAATGGTCTGGCACATTGGATATTGCAGCAGATAGTTCAGATAAGAAAACAATACAAATGAACATTTCTGACCCTGAAATAGAAGCTAAAAATAAACAGTTAAACTTGGAAGTGTCAATCAAGCGTGATGTCACACTAGATGTGTTTATTTACTCCCCCTATTGGATCATCAACAAAACTGAGCTTCCTGTGCAGATTAGGGTGAGTTCAAACAGCATTGGCATATTCTTTGATATTCCTCCAATATTCTGCAGTTGTTTGATTTATGGTGTTTGTTACGTGTTATGGTTTCTCAATGCAATACTTCAATACCAAGTCCAACAAAATCAGTGTATAACCAACTGACCATATGTGTTAGCTTGTTGGTACCATTTAATTGTTTTATTGACCCTGAGGCTTAATGAACCACATTTTCACTTTCAGGGTAGCACATCAGATATCATCTATGAGAGCTGTGGCTCATGCGAACCTGTCTTGTTTGGATTCAGCAAGAGCAAGAAAAAGGTAGGAAAGGATAACTTACCCAAAGAAATGTATCCACACAATTTGAGACCATTTTAATGTTAGGCCTTTATATTGTACTATTCTAGAAAAAGTATAAGCTCGGTAAGCTGGTATTAAATCTCAAAGACCTGAATTGCTAGTACTGTGACTCCATTTAATGCCTGGGTCACATTTGCTCCGATTCATCGGCCGGCGCCCAGCGGATTGAGTATTCTGTTCAAAACTAAATCCAATTATGAACAGGATACTCATTACTCAATCGGCCGAGCACCGGCCGATGAATCGGAGCAAATGTGACCAAGGCATTACACGTTTGATTCTAATCCCTCCTGGATAAACTTAACAATTATGTACATATTTACCATGTTTTATCTCTCATCATTCAAGGCTAAGTTGAAGGCGTATAATTCCAAATGGTCCAAGACGTGTTTCTCTCTAGATACAGTGGGCAGTAGTGGAGTTGTGATATGTACAGACTCTGAGAGGAACCGAAGATACCATGTAAGTACAAATAAGGCAATACTGTAATATTAAGAACATTCATTGACCTACAACTACAGTACAACACAGTATTATTAACTCATGGATATATTGCCCTCATTCTAATTTCAATTTGTCATTTATATGATATAAATGAAAAAATTAAAATGTGAACAGTATTGTATTGTTATTGTATTATATGTATTATATTGTACATCTTGGTATTATATTACACTGCATTGTACTTCATTGAATTCTGCTGCATGCTGTAACATTTCCATTGATTCATTTCTTATGTAGATGCTGGTTCAGATTCAGATGTCAAAGTTAAAGTTGACAAAGCTTGTCACTATCATGCCATACTTCTTAGTTGTCAATCAAACGACCCACAGACTTCGATACATGGAAGAAACAATGGATACTGAACTCTGGTTGGACATTGGACCAGGAGAGGTACGATTTTGTTCCTTCTTGTCCATGGCTATTGATATGGCATTATTTCCAAGTTGTCAGCCTTACCAAAAACATTCTTAGATAGGATACCAAATATATTTAAGTATTTATACCAGGATACCAGGATATTCAAAATGGATGGTGTGTAGTATTATAAATGTAAAAATGATTTAATTATGATATTTTCAGTGTACACCGTTCTGGCCAGTTTCGGAGGCTATGCGGATGTTTGTGAAACATGAAGATAGTAATGTGACATCACAGGTGTTTGTTATCAACCAACCACACAACACTGTGTTGAGGATGGATAAAGGGGTGAGTAAATGTGATATTCATGGATATTAATGTTTTATCCCATGCTTAAAAGGAAAAATAAATCGATTATCACTTTAAAATGTAATTGAGATGAGGATCATGATAAGCATACTTTTATTATTTCATTATTAAAATATATTTTAGCAAAAATACCCCAAACCATCAAAATATAGCTTCATGAAATATGGGTTTGATGTCAAAAGTAATATCATATGGTTTTCCTTATTTTGTGTCCCATTTTTCCCAAATTTTAAATTATACCAATTTTTAAAACTTCTGTTTTCCACAAATCTTCAATTTTTGCCAATATCCCATCTTCGTTCACTCGGCAGTGAAGACTGAGCGTGCGAAGATGCTAATATCCACTATAATTTCAAAATAATAAAGAATTTAGTAATTTTTTATATTTTCAGACTGGGTTAGTTGTAGAGGTTGATGGAGGAACAGAATCTGCTATGACCGTCACATTCCAGCATTATGACCCTGGGGATGCACCTGTTCGGGTAGAAAACCTTTGTGATGACATCTTCATCAAGCTTCATCAAAAGTAGGTTGTAGTTGGAATAGCCTATGTGTTTTAAATTGCAGAGTGTCTAATGGAAAAATAAAGAAAGGTGTATACACCGTGCAACTTTAGAATAACAAAGTTTCATCAACACTCAAAATTGTATACCCCGTGCAACTTCAGAATAACAAAGTTTCATCAACACTCAAAATTGTATACACCATGCAACTTCAGAATAACAAAGTTTCATCAACACTCAAAATTGTATACACCGTGCAACTTCAGAATAACAAAGTTTCATCAACACTCAAAATTGTATACACCGTGCAACTTCAGAATAACAAAGTTTCATCAACACTCAAAATTGTATACACCGTGCAACTTCAGAATAACAAAGTTTCATCAACACTCAAAATTGTATACACCGTGCAACTTCAGAATAACAAAGTTTCATCAACACTCAAAATTGTATACACTGTGCAACTTCAGAATAACAAAGTTTCATCAACACTCAAAATTGTATACACCGTGCAACTTCAGAATAACAAAGTTTCATCAACACTCAAAATTGTATACACCGTGCAACTTCAGAATAACAAAGTTTCATCAACACTCAAAATTGTATACACCGTGCAACTTCAGAATAACAAAGTTTCATCAACACTCAAAATTGTATACACCGTGCAACTTCAGAATAACAAAGTTTCATCAACACTCAAAATTGTATACACCGTGCAACTTCAGAATAACAAAGTTTCATCAACACTCAAAATTGTATACACCGTGCAACTTCAGAATAACAAAGTTTCATCAACACTCAAAATTGTATACACTGTGCAACTTCAGAATAACAAAGTTTCATCAACACTCAAAATTGTATACACTGTGCAACTTCAGAATAACAAAGTTTCATCAACACTCAAAATTGTATACACTGTGCAACTTCAGAATAACAAAGTTTCATCAACACTCAAAATTGTATACACTGTGCAACTTCAGAATAACAAAGTTTCATCAACACTCAAAATTGTATACACTGTGCAACTTCAGAATAACAAAGTTTCATCAACACTCAAAATTGTATACACTGTGCAACTTCAGAATAACAAAGTTTCATCAACACTCAAAATTGTATACACTGTGCAACTTCAGAATAACAAAGTTTCATCAACACTCAAAATTGTATACACTGTGCAACTTCAGAATAACAAAGTTTCATCAACACTCAAAATTGTATCATGGAATTTTTTGAGACTAGAATAGTCACAAGAAATATAAAACTGTTCTAGAAATCACAAAATCACCATTAAATTTCACTTCTCAACACATATATGGTAGAAATATCACTTAGGGCCTTCAGGTGATATTGATATTTTAGTAAGAAGTTAATGAGGTGAGAATATTATACATGTATGATATAAACAAATACTTGTGAATGTGGACTAATAGACTAGATGCGAGTAGAAATAATCTTGATTTACGTTTTTAAATATTCAAAATTCAGTTAAAGTGATGTCATATTTGAAATTTATGTGTAAAAGTACATCTATAAAAATGGTTTTGAAAATTGTTTATCAACTTTGAAAATTAATTTTTTTAAAAATATGACTTCTAGTTCGGGGAGATTCCCCATAGACCCTATGTTATAAAATCATAAAAAGTGAAATATCTTTTCTTGTATTGGACAGATAACATTTTCTTTTACTGGGCATATTCTAATTTGCATAACTATTAGATGCATAAGGGTGATATAAAAATTGAACCATTAAAACAGATGAATATTAAGTTAAAGGGAACTTTCTACTATACCCGCCATGCTATCTGACCCGAACAAGCCACCTGGTGGCAAAACTGGTAACTACTTACTCGCATCTGACTATTTGAAATTTTATTGATATTCTTCAGGAGTCAAAGCCAGGTGACACTGCTGTCACCAAGACAAGCTGTCTTGTATACATGGGATGATCCTACTACTGAGAGGACACTCTTCTGGAATATATACAACAGGAAGAAACCAAGCTACCCTGCATTTATTAACAAAGTGAGTGGGAGGCATATTTCCCTTTTGTTTTTGGTATGGAAAGGTTTCTGAATGATGTGATAGAATGGGGTGGGAAACCATAAGATGAAATTCTATTAAGATTGAGAAAGATTAAATTGAGGAAATAAAAAATTAAATAAAACGTTTGATTATTCGTATTATGCAATTCTTTCTATATCGAGAAAATTTGAAAGTGAAATATGTAAAAAAAACTCAAACAATGTGTGCAGTTGGAAACTTTTGGTTGCAACCGTCATAATATTGGTGAGCACTTTTAAACACAATTTTCCCGATTGGGATTAGCTGATGGTTAATGGAATGAATGCTTGTACAAATATTGATCTGGTATATTGTAGGATGGACATGGAGAAGTTGCCATGAGTATAACAACAGTAAGACGTAGCAGCATCATAGATACGTCTACAGGCAGTACTACTATGTTAGACAGCTCCCCTGATGGTGAGAACATATTTTCAGACAATTTATTTGTTTAAATAAAAACCAATTTATCTTATTTTTTATTAATAGACATTTCAGTTTACAATTAAAATGCTAGAACAATAAAGATTCACAAATTAACAAAAGATAATATCACGCACACACATATACACTGGCTGTCACTCTTGGTCAGTATCCAGTCCAGTTCATTCATTCTATTACAAGCCTCCTAGATTCTAGCCTAGTTCGTGAGGTCGGATAAGTGGAAGTCTAGGAGGCCTGTTTAAGGAAGGAATACATATTGAGCTTTGCTTCCGAGAATATGATAACATAAGTCTATCTGACATGATAGAGATACGTCAAGTCATTTACTTGTTTATATTACAGATGACAGTGAGTTGGAAACTACAGCTCTGGTGAACTCAAATGGTGCCGCATCTCAAACGAAGACTGACAAAGTGATCATATACTGGGTGTCCTATTTAGATGGATTACAGAGAGTTCTGCTACTCACCCAAGATGAGAGGGTAGCAACTAAAGCCAGACAGGTATACAGAGCAATAACATCTTCCTTCATACATTCACTGTGTACAAGTATCATTATCAACCTTTTTTCTATGGAAATAGTCATATTAATAAGGTCGTTCAAAACGCAAACATATATACATGTAGTGGTGTACTTGCACTCGTAGTTTGATGCCTTCCGAGATAGTTCATGTAGTAGGGAAGTTTTGTCAGGTTTCCACCACTCACTTATTTTTGCTCTTCTTTATTGTATTCTATTATATTCTACCACTTTTGCATGTTAATGTTGTGATTGCATGTTTAGTTGTGTTAATACGTAGTACCAGCACCAGCATTACATGGTTTGTTTAGCTGTTAATCAGTGCTACCTTACAACTATTTTTATTTATAGTTATATTAATGCTTGCTTGGACTGTAAAACATTATAAAAAATAACGGAGGCAACAGTTTGTGAAATTATCAAAGGCAGATGAAAATAGAAGAATGATCATTTTTGAATCAAATGTTTGCCATGCCAGTCATAGAAGTAGAAATTATATCATTCTGAAAAGCATGTACCAGAGTGATTAATAAGTAATAAGGGGATTGTTACATTGACATTTTTTCAAATTAAAATGTCTCGGTTTTATCTTCCAGTAATGCATCATCTTTCCCCAATGTTTGATCATAGAGATAATGAGATGACTATTCTTTTAAATCATAAGATACTTCATTCAGTTATTACTTGCCTCTTAACCTTCAGGGTATTAGACGATGCATTACTGGTGAAAAATCAGTGTAAAAGGCAACCATTACTTATTGATCACTTATTTTGTAGCACTTAACTCAAAGGTAATGGTCAGATAGCATTTCAGTCGAATTTTGGCCATGCCTTGCAGTTTTGTGTTACCCTGTATTTTTGTTGTCTACTTTATTGCATGCCTTATTTTAATATTTGTTGTTTTGACAGTGTATCACCAACACAGAAGGATATTTACCATGGGTATCAATATATTTGTTCTGTTACCTATACTAACTGAGAGGAATGTTTTAAATGAAACTTTGAAAATACAATATTCCATCATTCTATCTGCATTAATGTCTTCCTTGTATAGTAGCTTAGGATGAGATATTTAGAATTAAGCTTATTTATTTTACCTAAAACAGAAAATTTGATGTTATAAACCAGACAATAATAATATTTTACCCCCTTCCAACCCATTATAGAATTAACTTTAAGGTTGAGGGACATTTACCCATAGTTCTTTGTAAGCACCTTACAACCTAACCAATCACTGAGTTGTACATTCTTCCTTAACCAATGCTTCATTTGGAGTCATGCTATCTGCAAAATGAAGGTTCATATAACGATCCAAGCAATACCATTCACTCATGATTTACTACATGATTTACTACATTCTACATGTCTGAAACACCCTCAAATGGGCAGAGTCAGATATAAGCCTTTTAATCACTCTGAGCTTTATCTGCTTATTATTTTTGTTTACATATTAGATGTAGTTAATATTTCATTATAAATTTATTATCATAGATTTTATCTGATGTAACTCCATATTACGATATGCAAAATTATAGATTACCTAGTTTGTGATAAAAAATGATACCAGTTTATTATGTACCATAACTCTGTATCAGATATCAAATACATATAATGTACAATGTACGCATTGTATACAATGTAAATAGGAAGCTTATGATTTGTTTTTATTATTTTTAGAACAACGATAGTGAGCCTTCCCAGCAAGCCATGTTTGTCTCACTAGGAGGCGTTGGGGTATCTATCGTTAACAGTCTATATATGGAAGTTGCGTATATGAGCCTCTCAAGTGGTGCCTCCACTTGGCATGTTCAGGTACTAAATTTTAGATTTCATTAATTTTCTTGCTTTATCATGTAATCTTGATAAATAGAAAATAAATTGACTTAGAAATTGAAAAATGATAGATAATTATATGCAAATATTTAATAATTTAGAAGGGGTCTTTCTCTTCAGTAAATCACATTTATTATCCCATCGAACGAAGTTCGGAGGGATATAGGGAACGCCTCCGTCCGTCCATACGTCCGTCCGTCCGTCCGGGCAATAACTCAAATACCGTTGGCCCGATTTTGTTCATATTTTGTACACATATACCCTATGGGAGTAGAAGTTCTGCTCGCCGCTCATTTAAAAATGGCGGCCATTTTAGTTCTGATTTTACAGTAATTTAGGTGTAATATGTAAAACTGTAATAGCAATATGTTTTAAATGTAAAAAAATTATATAGGACATTAATATTGCTAGAAATGTAGATATTAAAGAAACACATGGCAGCCATCTTGAAAAATGGCGGCCTTTACTCGTTATTTTACGATTTTTGCTGTAACTCGAAAAGTAGTGGAGCGATTTTGTTCATATTTGGTATGTGAATACTATAAGCATGGCACACTGTTTAATGACACTTTTGGTAGAAGGCGGCCATTTTGAAAAATGGCCGCCATTTTGGCCGCCATTTTAATGTATTTTACTATAACTCGAAAAGTAGTGGAGCGATTTTGTTCATATTTGGTATGTGGATACTATAAGCATGGCACACTGTCTAATGACACTTTTGGTAGAAGGTGGCCATTTTTCAAAATGGCCGCCATTTTAACATATTTTTTTATAACTCGAAAAGTAGTGATACGATTTTGTTCATATTTGGTATGTGAATACTATAAGCATGGCACACTGTCTAATGACACTTTTGGTAGAAGGTGGCCATTTTGAAAAATGGCTGCCATTTTTGCTATATACTTTTTTGTAAATATGCCAACCATGGCTGTTCGATGGGATTTGTTACGCTTTGGCATTGCTGCGGTCTAGTTTCAAACATGAGAAATCATCACAAAATATTCTACCTCAGCTACTGTAGCATTATAAGCTAGCACATACATTCTGTACATTTCGAACCCTCTTTCTTTATTCCCTTGATTTTAGGTGAAAGATAAATGGAAACTTCTGAGCCTTGAAGATGCATGTTGGTTAGAGGATAAATGGCGTAATGATGTAACTGGTGACATCACTCTTGACGATAAACGACAGGTTGGTAATTTTTATGTTTTGTATTATGAGTAAAGAACATTATACGTTTCAAGCTGATATCATTTAATTTTTTTCCCCTCTTACTCTTGCTGTCTTAGTGTAATCTAAATATAGAATATAGAAACATGTAAGAGAATATGTTAGTAACAAATTATGAATAAGATGTACATGAAAAAGATCATTTTTAAATAATAAGATATTTGTCTTGCTTTTCTAAAAAAAGATCATTCTTAAACGGAAAAGTCTATCAACATTTCAGGCGAATGTTGGCCAGATGAAGATGATGAAACCATATGCCGGCTGCCTACGTCGCACACACAGACCTGCCATCTGGTTTCAGTACAGAACATCTGAGCACCATACCAACCTAAACATCAAGATACACAGATTACAGGTGAATGTCATCGGTTATGTATGATTTATAGGGGTTAGATGTGAGATAACATGTTCATTGGATTAAAGCACATTGCCATATACCATATACAGAAAATATGGATCATGTTATTCTTTATTCGTCTGGAAATGCAAAGTTGACCAACCAAAATAATATGAATATAGTTTCTAGAAATCTGAGAAAAAAAGTTCTAAGGAATCTGTTCTTAAAGATTCATTCCTGGGAAATGGAACATGTTAATTCCAATAATGTTGAGTTCATTATTCCTGACAAATCTAAAAACATTTAAATTTGAATTAATAAATTGACAAACACTATATAATTATTTGCTATTTAATGAGACCATGTATAACGTGATAAGAGAATAATGTTTTATTCATATGTTCTATTGTTCTATTATGCAGATTGACAACCAACTCCCTGATGCCTACTTCTCATCAGTTCTCTACCCCTCCCCTACCCCAAAGTACATTGCCAAGAGGGAGGGGACTAAGCCATTTATAGAGTTGGCTGTCATGAGGCGACATGTGCCAGAGAATAATGTGGACACATTCAAGTAGGTGGAAATGTCTAAAATTGGACAGTGTGTAAAAGTTCCATATTTGTATGTATTTGGCCTACCTTAATAAAGTAACCCCTAAGATACATAAATAGGGAAAGTTTTGTATTAAAACATTGAAAGTTTTTACGTTTGAAAGTTTGTATGAACTATGTATACTAGGAAAATTGCATATACTATCAAGGACTTAACTAAAACCTGAATATAGCAAGACAAACAAACAAATGACCCAGACATCTCCAAACAGTGTGAATTGTGTGAATGTCTACAGGTACATAAAGCTACTGGTGCAGGAGTTCAACATCAAACTGGACAAAGGGTGTCTACTGTATACATAAATATGTAGATTGTCAACTGCTATAGATGTCCATATATTTGTGTAGGTACATTAAGTTGCTGGTGCAAGAGTTCAACATCAAACTGGATAAAGGTTTCATGCTGTCTCTCTATGATGTGGCTGCTCTGCTATGGGCTGAAGAAGCAGAGGTAAGACCCTATAACAGTTAAACAGTTATGCATAAGTCTATGGGGAACACAATTGATACCATATGTCCCTGCCCATTTGAGAGATGTTAAGATTCTATGGTATTTTTATTCTTAAATATTGCACTTTAGCCTCAGTACAGTATATAATCTGTGGTGGATTTCAACATTTTAAAAGTACATGTACAAAGAGATACATGTAAGACATGACTGAAGCTAACTTGAAGAATCATTTATCATCAGTGAATGTTATAAATAAAGTTATTGATTATACCTTTTAATTGCAGAGTGCCATGCTCCAAGCTGATCTTACAGTGGTTAAAAGGTCATTAAAAGATGTTGCTGATGTACAGGTAAATTATGGGGTAAAATGATGAGTCTTATCCCTGGTTCGCTCCTGGCCCCTATTTAAAAGCCATTAGGCATGACTAGTCAGCTTTTTAATGCATTAAATACATGAATTAAACTATGCTTAATGCAAACAGTGGATTCTATATTGTAAAAATGAGAGGAATGAGTGCTTTGTTATTATGTAGAATATTTGCAGTTTATTTAACCAAATGGATTTTGTACTCAAAGGCTGTACCATATTTTGCACTTGGACTATTCAAAGGTCAAATACTCACCTAACCTCAAAATGGAATGTAACAGTCATAAAACAAATTATTTTTTCCATTTTAGGGATCCATCAGACCTCAAAAGATGTTCTTTGAATACTTGCACTTCTCACCATTGAAGGTGAGTAAGATTCCTGTAAAATAAACAGCCATGCAATTTATTCTGATTTGAACATTTGGCTACATCAGTATCATACTTTGTATACATCACATTTTTGCAAATGGATACAACTAATCTAATATACCTTTACTCTGAACAGAAAGATTTCACGTTGTCGTTGTCCAAATGAATATCTCAGTAGAACCCTTATCGGATATGATGAAATATATATATTTATCCAAAACTGAGCATGTTTTGTTTTGAAGATTTTGATATCTCTGTTTTAGATGAGAATAAGTTTCTCACTAGGGGGCACTGTCTACAAAACACAACCAACAGAGCCATCTATTAAATCTGACATTGTTGACTTCTTCCTCAACTCTGTTGGGGTCACTCTGACTGAAATACGACAAGTGGAAATAAGGTACCATTAATATCATCATATCATTGAACTTATGGCATACTTACTTCATAGAATAAAATTTATTTTTTGAGACACAGTATATATATTTACATGCGAAGGAGTTGCTGAATTAATAGAGTATTGACACTTGCTTAAGAAATGTAAAATGATGTGTAAAATATCATGTTATATACAAATAGTGTAGATGTCAAATTCCCTCGAGCAGAGTCGTAAGCAAATTCTACATACTTCCGTTCAAAATTGCAAAGCGGCCCAAATGCCATGTTATTTTTATATGGATGCTGTAAAAAGTGGCATAGATCAAAGCCATCTGGATGCTGTCAGGCCTCTCAGGGCCACTCAGGCCTCTCAGGGCCACTCAGGCCTCTCAGGGCCACTCTGCATTGCATTGAATGAAACCATAATATTTGCAGGCTTGCTTTCTTTGAGCGAAGGGGTGTGTCCATGTCATATAATCAGGTGACATCAGCCATCCAATCACATTACACCTCACAGTTCATACAGCAGGCCTATGTGTTAATACTTGGCCTAGATGTATTAGGTAACCCCTATGGACTCATAAAAGATTTCACTAAAGGACTTGGTGACTTCTTCTATGAACCCTTCATGGTAAGTTTCTGTATAAAATATACTTGTATTTTGAACAAAAGAAACCTGAATTACTGTCTATTATATACTATTAACAAACTGTTATGTATATAAACAGGTTATGTTAATTTGAAAAATAAAATAATTTCCTATGTTTGACAGTAAAGATGTTCAATTTATCTTTTTGTATTTGGATTTTGGTACATACTCAGATATCTGGATATGCAATTGGACGTATTTGTAGAGAGACTTAAAAAGAGATTAATATACTTGTAATCAGATTTTTCCAAAAATCTTGACTTCACTCTTGCACCAATGAGATTGAAGCTACATGTATGTTATATCTTTTTATGGATGAAATTATAGTTTTAGACAATGCACAAGATGTAGAGTTCTCTACAATAAATAGCTCATGAAAAGATGCTGTTTGACATAATATTTTAGGGATCTACTCAAGGGGTTGATGAGATGGGAGAGGGACTGATTAGAGGAGTACAGAGCTTACTTGGCCATACTGTGGGTAGGTTCAGTTTATAAAATGTATATTTTTTTCTTAATTGAGACTTAATTGAATATACCAGTACTCATTTACCTTATTGTTGAAGTCGATTCTAAGTTTTTAAAAGTGGCCCTGTGACAATTTAAGCCAAATGTGAGGGAGTGAGAAAAACTAAGAGGAAAAAATGCTTTATTTTGTCACCAGGTGGAGCAGCTGGTTCTGTTTCGCTGATCTTTGGCTCAGTGGGAAGAGGTTTAGCAGCACTATCTTTCGACGAAGACTACAAGCGAGTGAGTATAGTATATTAAACAGTAGCAAAAGTATAGAACATAACTGCCCTTAATTGTAATTGGTAAGAGGTAACCAATTCATTTAAAATTACTCATAGTAAAACTATTTCAGAAAAGACGCCTGCGTATGACACAACAGCCTCGTCATCTCCCAGAGAGCCTCTACCTGGCAGGGAAAGGATTTGTCATGGGGGTAGGGCTTGGGGTGTCAGGGATCGTGGTTCAACCCCTCAGAGGTGCCCAGGAAGAAGGTGCTGAAGGTTTCTTTAAGGGGGTCGGAAAGGGACTCCTTGGCCTCATCACAAAACCTACAGGTGGAGCAGCTGACATGGTGTCAATGACATTTGATGGAATAAGAAGGTCAGTTGTGATTTCAGTAATAATATGTTCTTCAGATTTGTTGATTAATTCAATGAAGAACCACTCATATTGTTGTGTTCATTGTTTACACTGCATTTCTTTGTGAGGAATATCATTGTCTATGAGAATTTAGAAAAAAGGTTGTATGCATTATGTTTGCCCGGGCCGTGGCCAGGATTTGCAAAGGGGGGTTCACTTTTTCAAAGATTCCAGGGGGGTTCACTTTTGACAACTTTATCAAAAATGGACAAAATCACCTGAAAAGTGCTCAGAATGGTGAAAAACTGCATGACCTGAAAGAATTTTTGGCCAGGGGCTTGAACCCCCCCCCCCCCCCTTGCTACAGGCCTGTTTCCATTGATCATATTACAGATTTTGATCCCTTTTAAGCTTCTTACATAATTAATTTGTTCACGTGAAACCAATGTTAATGGCATATCAGGATTTTACTTATCTATGAAATGTTATTCTGTATATATTTAGAGCTGCAGAGATGGGCGAGGATGTTGTAGTGAGGCTCCGTCTACCCCGCCATATTCACCCGTGCCTTGGTCTGAAACCATACTCCATCTATCAGGCAATTGGGAAACAAATCTATTTTACAGCGACCAAGAATAAGTACAGTGACACTTACTGGGCGCATGCACCATTAAGTTTAGAAGAAAGAGCTGATGTTGTCATAGTAACAGATGGGTAAGTTTCGTTGTGGACTTACCAAGTTAAATGAGTTCAATTTATATGAAAGAAAAATACCAAGCTTTTGTGATACTATTGGAGTTGTCACAATGAGGTAGAATATGTATTAGGCTAAATGGATATAGCTGAATATGTAGCTTTCAATTATTTAATAAAATGATTATAAGAAACAAAATCAAAACAATTACAGTAAAACCTGTCTTATATTAGTGAACACCTCTATCCAGTGAACACCTGTACGTCTCTCATGTCTCTAGAAGACGCGCTTCCTCTGCACATACTCTATTGACTTCTGAATAAAATTACCCTCTCTGTAGTGAGCACGTACAAACACCAAACATTTTTTCTTGGCAAAAAATGTTTAATATACAGGTTTTACTGTACTGCCAAGTAGAATCAACAGATCAATCTGATTATTAAATTGAATCTTTTACATGGAGTGTAGTCTGTAAGGGTAAACCCAAATTATGTCCTATTGAAACTCAGATTCATGTAAAAGTTGGATGTTATCATGACTTCTCCATTTCTACATAATCCTATTCATAGTGATGAAAATATGTACACCAATCCATGAAAATAAAATACATCTTACATTCTATTTACAGTCGAGTGATTCTCCTGGAAAGGTGTCGTTTCTGGGGCGACTGGGATATAGAGTATGAAGTCCTATTGGATGACATCGTAGCAACACCCGCCATTGTAGACAACAAACTTGTATTCAAAGTTAAAAAAGTAAGTCAAGTACCTGGTACATTTGGGGGGGGGGATTTGGAGTGTTCTTTAGGGATCAGTACTTTAGTTTTGAATTAGGCTATACCTAAATAAGGATGACGTATTCAGGAATATTGTGAAACTCTCTGTCTTAAACTGAAACTCTTTGTTCAAATCAGAGGTGGGAAAATACATAAAGGTGACCTTATATTTTCAAAGTGGCTGCTACTTCAGAAATGTCAGTTTTTCACTGTGCTGTACTGTGTTGTCCAGGCTTTAGTTTGCCATCATTATTTGTCATATGAGATGGAAAGGATTCCTCCCTTTAACCCTTGTACTTGCTACAATAAAACCTGAATATGAGTTGTTCCCTAAGTCAGTTCTCACTGTATGCTGTTTAGATACTGTTGCTGCTAATCTGTAGCTGGAAATAACTTATTGATTATAGCAACTAACAAAAAAAGTAACACATTTAATCTAATGTCTTATTTTATTGGACCTTTCATTTCGATTAAACGCTAGACATTATATGCAGGTCTAATTTTCATTTTCATTTCTTTGAGTGAGTAATCAAGAGGATAAGGTGGAAATTTAGTTATGTCCCTTGGAAATCCATACCAAAACATGCATGAATAGTTTTCATCACATTTTGGGTCGTTAGCGTAAACTGAAAATAGGTTTGAATCTCCACAGCCTCTGGCACCATGCCACCAAGGACCTCTCCGATAAATGGGACACTGCTCATCTTCCTTCCTGTTATCCAATGTACTAAATGGTCTACCATTTAGCCCACTTAGGTAGTCATCAATGTTACTTGTTCCCGTGAAATTATAACCTGTAACATTTAGTTTATAGCCATCATTTTCATCACTAACACTAAAGGTTGCATATTCTGCATGTCCATGCTCATTCTTCCATCCAACAAGGTCAAATCGTATCATGTATTCTCCTCGCTTGAGGGCAGACAAAATAGCCTCAAACCCAACAAAATATTCACTCAACCTTGACCCGAAGCCATTTTTGTACTCAATCCATGTACGATCAAAGAGCACTTTGCCATTGAATCTGTGGGCAATTACCAACCATCCATTTTCACAGTTTGCTTCAACACTCTTTCCAGTCTTTGTAAGTATTTTACTTGGTCCATCCTGGGCTTGAATACAGTCTTTGTTTGCTGTAAAAAAGCCAGCACGGAATATGCAAATTAGACATGATATGTATGTATGTATGTTGGAGTATTTGTGTATAAATCATGGTACAGTAACCCCGTAAAGTGGAACACCTAGTTACCCATTAACTTAATGAAAATGGAACACCTCCCAAATGTCTATTTTGAGGTAGCAAAGTTGTTGGTTTTACTGTTATTGCTTTACATATCTGAGGGGCCTCCAACAGGTATATTGACTTTATAAACAGATGCCTATTCCTCACCTACAAGTGCACTTAGTGTAGACTCCAACTGTGCCAGTTGATCAATTATTGACCCAAATGCTGACTTGTCATCCCCGTTTGCATCTTCCATTAAAGATTCCAAAATTGATATTTTATCAGAAATTCCACCAGTTTCATCTTCTAACTTTGTCGTCAGTATTTCAATTTTATCTTTCACTTCAGATCCTAAAGTAGATATCTTACTGGTCATATCATTGCCCAAACTTCTTATATCTTGTCTTCTACATTTTTGACCTTGTATCAACCCTAAAATAAAATTAACAGTAGTTAAAATTGACTATAAATAGCGAAAATATGTTTATTTGGATTTCATGTCAACTCTTATAAATTATGACAAAATAAGTCCCCCAATTTCAACAATTTACTGTATATCTTTTATTCCTAATTGATTTACCTGTCATCAAGACGAAGGTCACTACGGCAAGAGTCACACAATTTTGTTGATACATATTCTTTACAAGTCAACAACTTATGATTTTGAAGCAAGAAATCTGAAATGTACTTGTATATGTAGAGGATTGATGCCACAATAATGTTGCAGTTTGTAAATACAACTTGAACATCAGGATTTTACAATGTACGCTGTATTGTTATTAATGACTTCAATGAAATGATATATCATAAATGAAATGTAAGTCAAAGCAATTAAATAAAATATACATCCTGATTGAGCTTGGTTTGTTTGTTCACCGTATTCACATGATACAATAATTGTATGAGCTTATACCATAAAAGTTTGAACATAAAAGCTGAATCAGAACTCATAAAATGGGATACATGTATATGCGACTGCAAGGGCGTATAATATGTGATGATGTTGAAATGGATGATTCGTCCAAATAATGAAATATAATAAAAATCCTACCTGCTATTAACAAGAATTCAATTGGTGACTTTGGAGTTCAACGTATGATTGGTTTTGCCTTTTGTGTATTTTGAAATTATGGTCATTTTATAAAATGGGTATTATTTTACATATTTGTACAATACATTTTGCATTTTAGAAATTTAAGTACATTATTTTACAAAGCACATAGTTGTGTTTCCATTTTGTTTATATTTTGTATATATGGACATAGGAGAAATGTTGGGATTTGCTGTATCACATTGGCCTGTCCAGTTCTTCATTTCTATTTTTTGAAACTTTATAAATTTTATGATACTTTCTACTTTCAGGAAGACTCTATGCTGAATCTGTTCAGTAGTAGCCAAAAAGAGATAAAGGGCGAACCCCCAGATGTGTTGCTATGGTTACAAAAGAAAATCAAAAGTGCAGTGCAGCTCATGAATGATGGCTCATGATAGTGTTTTATATAAACCTGAAGGTGAGTCTTCAAATATGTCAAAAATTGAAAATCTACCTGGTTTAATTGTAATGAAACGTAAAGACAAGAAATATCTAATTATAAAAACTTATTAAAAAGAAAAACAATTTGTTTGACTTTATTTTAAGGCTGCATATGTTAACATTACCCAAGTTGTAGATTGAAGACTTAGCAAAGTTTAAAATGAAAGTCTGTAATTTTAGTAATTTTCTCTTATTTATTTACAGGGAAATGTGCAATGTTTAGATGAGATACAGCTTGAATCTTAAGGTCGAGGGACTTTTTGTAGGGATATGGATTTGACATCCTGATTTAAGTTGTCATAATTGCTTCAAAGTGCAAAGTAGCATAGGCAATGTAACAGCTAGTAAAGAATAAAGTCAATAGTTAGAATACATGGAGATGATAGAGGTAGATGTAGGTCCTTTGACGTTTGTATTATATAATAACCAGGGACCTGTTTTTTTGAAAATATTGTGAATTACAATTTGTGAAATTCAATTGTCTCTTATGATATTATTTTGACAGTTACTGTAATTGAAAATAGGAACTGTCATTGATGATACTTTCCAGAAATTGGCTCCTCGTATAAAGCATGATTGATGCTTTCAAAATTCCTTATGATGTGTTTCAGCTCTAAACTTTGAATTTTGAATATTGATGTACATTGTATATGTATGTATAGAAAAAATGTTAAATCTATATTTTTATGAGTGAGATTAAGTCTTTCTCAAATAGTTATTCTTACTTGATTGTTTATTTACATTTATTTAATGTATATCCAGTTAATATTTATATATATTTGTCAAAGCATGGCCATTTTAGAGAAAGACCACTGTGAAAGTGGAATAATGAAGAAAATGTACCTGTAAATGTATTCGAAAAAACAGTGTATTTGAGTCTGCATTTTGAGTACACTGTGCGCTTTATTGGCTCCATTAATATTGAGTATTGTATTCATTAGTCGACACATTATTTGAAATCCAAGCAACTTTTACATAATGAAATCCTTATCTACATTATCAAATCAAAAAGCAACATGAGTAATTCTGCAATTTTAAAGTGAATTTCAGACTATTTGGCGCAGTTACCATGTAATTTACCCTTACTTCTGAAAAATAGCTGACCTGGATCAGAGCTAAGTGGTCCTTGGCTGGTGCCTTTGTCGCATTTCCTTTGTCACATTCAGGATAAGTGTGACAGAGTCACCAGTGTGTTATATATCTTACTGAATAATTATATCTATATAAGTATATATAAGTAAATCTGTGATATAGCATGTATAGGCCTATAGATATAGAAATAATATCTACTGTTCGTATATGTCATTAGTAAGTTAAACATGTTTAATACAATGTATTAATTACAATGTATTACACTGTATTTACAATGTATTAATTACAATGTATTAATTAATTACAATGTATAATTGCAATTATACAATGTACTAATATTAATAATGTCTTATATATACAGTAAAACTTGTAAAGTTGAAACACCTCTGTAAGTGAAACACTTTTCAGAGTCATATGACCAACTGGATAGGTTCTTTTGAAAACTGTTCCATGTAAAAGAGGTCTTCATCAGACAGGGTTTACTGTAAAAGTAAAATGATATATTTTGTATGAATTTGTTTTCAAAAGCATATGTGGAAAACAGTATTCGACTAAAAAAACAAAACTACGCATAGTTATAGATAATTTACTCATAAAGTATGTCTCAACCATAAAGATAATGACATTCCTCTTCATACTGGAGAGATAGAAAATATAAACAAGATTTTTAGTTTGATTCTTCAGTATATTTATATTGTGATTTATAATTTGTTTTAAAAACTTTTTTATCATCTAAAAGAGTGAATTGTATTTTGAAGGCTAATTCCTAATTTGACTGTGATTTAATTTCATATTATATATTTTTATTGTATATAACTGTATCAAAAGGTGCAACACACAGTGCATACCATATATTGTGATAGGTTACTACATGTATGGCCATTGAATTCACAGTATTGTATTATCTTTACCTTGAAATACAGTACTAGTTATTATAATTTTAATGAGATACATTTCTGGGGTATTTCCTACACTGGGTTACCCATTTTAACCCTGGGTTTATTATTGTAATATGTAGTTGAAGTTGGAATACAATTTTTGCATTTTGATCAAGGTACATTCTAAGCATAAACACTGAAGCTGAACTGTTATTTAAGCGTGACAACGGTACGCAATTACATGTATATGCGCTTTCAATACGTTAGACATTTTTCGTTTCAATTTCATAAGCAACATTTCTGACTCTCTTACAGAAAGAGATTTCAAGTTATCTGAGGATGTCCCCTAACTTTTACAATTCTAATGAATTTGGACATTTCCATGTATATTGTCAGCTATACAATTATTAAGGATTTTTCATGAAATAATGTCTTTAAGTAGAGGGAATGTGCATTGATACTCTGCAATATATAAGATAAATGCACTTAAAATGTTATTGTATTTATTATACTCTATGTAATGTTAATGGAATAAACCACTCTATTAGAGTTTAAATATATATTTGTTGTGTAATAACCCTTGATAGAAGCCTAGCTGTAGTGGTAAGCACTGATACGCCCAATTACTAAGGGTGTCGAGTGCACATGCTTTGTACATTCCATTGTTATATTATCATGAAATAAATAAATAAAGCCCCTTTGGTTCGAGTGCTAGAGCGTCAGACTTTGAAGCGGAAAGTCCTGGTTTTGATTCCAATTGAATTTAGCACTCCCTCTTATGTCTAGTATCTGGCCTGCAACACTACAGCTCCCAGGCCTCTTACTAGTCAGGATTGTATGGGTTTTTATAGCAAAGACTTAAAATGCAGACAAAGAACTGAGATGAAAATATCTTTCTAAAATATTTCAAGATTTGACAATATTCAGGCCCGAATCTAGCTTTTACCAAGGGGGGGTTGTTTTAAAAAATCCATGATTTTGAAAGAAATCATCAATTTCAAAACAAATCTTAAGTTACATAATAAAATGATCCTCAAAATCAACTAAAAAATGATGGTCATCGAATCATGAATCTGACTGACCCCTAAATAAATATGTAAACTGGATCTCTTGATTCTCCATTTAGGTGATTTATCTTTCCAAATGAGAAACAACAAAAGAAATGTTAACTTAATTATAGAAAACATTTATTGTACTATCTATCCGTCTATCTCTTCTTCAGTATCACACATACATCCTTTCGTATGTAATCAACTTTTAACATCATGTTATAGTTGGACTCATTAGTCTCACATGCAAGTCAGGGAAATAATTAACACTTGCTTTGCACTGAAACTCACATTTAAACATTCTCTAGGATTGTATATAAGACATTATTTGAATGCATTCTGCACTCTGTTCTTACTGAACTAAAACAATGATTAATATCAGAATACCTAACATGATTTTGAACTTTAGGTTTTCAGACTTATGTTGAAATTGTACATTACATCACATACATACACTTTTTTAGATTTGAATATCTTCTTATTTCATTCCAATATCTTTTAAATTTAACAGTTCATGATTCAATATTTCTGATCAGTTCATTTTGTCTATTTCAACCCCATTTTGCACTGTTAGATTCTGCGATATCACTTGTACATCAAATGGAAGAAATATGGAAATGCCTTAAGTATTTAAATCCAAATTCAAAATTGCACTTTCATTTTTCAACGTAAGAAAAACAAATACAACATGAAGTAATACTTTTTGGCTTTAATAACATCTCAAAATATAATACTTTCATTTTTATAGAATCAGGAAAAATAGTATACAATACTGATTGTTTGCAAGTATACTTCTTCACAAATTGTGTGAAAAATTTTTTTACGAGCAGTGGCACAAAATCATTAATTACAGTGTTAAGTTTTAAACCTTCCTGATTGCAAAATACTTGATTCACCACATATTTCTATTCAACAATAGTATTGTCCTGGCTTGTTACTTATTGGTCATAGTTCAGTACTTGTTTATCCTGGATGGGTTCATACATTGACTACATGTATGTACTAATATTGACTACTGCAGGCCGTTATCATAATGGAGCCTTGCTGCTAGTTGGTTTATAATAATCTCTACAGCGTTCATAAAATAGCTGAAATAGAATAAGTACTGGCTATGAGTTTTAAGGCAGTTTATCACAACAATATGAAAAATGTCAATCTCAATGAGTTTCTCCTTTCCATCTTACCCAATCCTTAGACATAGACCAAAGCTTGTAAATACCCATTGCAAATTGTAATACCTTTAATTTTGTAAGAATATTTAAGTTTTTATTTTCATAAAATAAAGTTCGTATCATAGTCCATTGATAGTGTAAGTTGCAATTGTGATTTCATAAATGTAAAAGAGTCAATGGTCCAATTACCTTTAGACTTCTCTCTCTAATGATGCCCTCTACACCAAGTTCTCCCTGCATAAGCCTCAACTGTAAAACATGCAATAGACATGAATTATGAGAAATAAACAATTAAATGATGTCGTTTAAAGAAATTATAAATCACATCTGTCAAACAAATATTTCAGCTTGCAAAATTCAAAAAGTATATGTGTGTTATCAAACAATATAATTTTCTTTATGTGGCTATTATATGGTCAACACAACACATAAACAAGGTATTAACACGCAAAATGTCACCACCTGCCATTTGTTACAAATGGCGCCAAATAACAACACATAAACAAGGTATTAACACGCAAACTGTCACCACCTGCCATTAGTTACAAACATGGCCAAACACTGAACACAAATGCACAAAAAGTTACCATTTTTGGTGGTGACACAACAATACATGATATAACATGATAAACTATCAACACATACAATAAATTACCATTTCTTACCAAGAGTCACAAAAAACAATGGCTATGACAATATGGTTGTGATATAAAAACAAAAAGTCAAAATTTTATAAAAACAATACCTTTGTTTGTTCTTTTCTTAATAATTTGGCCACTTGTAAATCATCTCCATGGAGTTGTTTCTGTTTGCGTAATTCTTCCACTTTTTCTGAGGTTACTTTTAAACAATGTTTGATTCTCTGTTCTCTGTCATCATATGAAGCATTGAGCTAAAAATAATTTGAAAATATAAACATTTTAAATATGAAATTTTACCATTGATCATATTTTGTAATAAAATCCTGATCCAATCCATCTTTTACCTGAATCCAACTGACTTGATCCAATCCACATCTTATTCCTTACGTTTTTGTCTTTTTGACATTTTTATAATGGAAATACTAGTCATTCTTTGAACTTTAAACTTTGAGGGAGAACATTGTAATATTTATCCAAATATTTAATTCTATGGATGTGAATACCTGTGCATCTTTCACAACTGATATTCCATGAAGCTAAAAGGGCAAGTGGAATATCATCCTGTGAAAGTGTCACAGGTATTCACCAAAAATAGAATTAAATATTTGTTTTATTATTCACTGTTTTATTCCTTACTCACATTAATAGAATAACAAACTATTGATGTTTATTAATCATAGCAATGTACTTCCGGGGATTTATGAATCTAAAATTACATTGGACTAAGTCGTGAATGGTGAATATATTTAATATTCAACAGAAGTAACATGACTTCCATTGAATATCGCTTGTTTTTTAGTCATGTATATGACATGAACCAATCAGAGAGTGAGGACTAATATAGTGTTATAATAATTGGAAATATTGGTCACTTATTTCAGACTTTATCACAACAAATTTAACATACATTGTACTGTATTCGCTTGGTCTTACATGTTCATACAAATGCTTGCACTGCTTGGTACCATTAACTCTTACCTGTTAATACAAATGCTTGCACTGCTTGGTACCATCAACTCTTACCTGTTCATACAAATGTTTGCATTGCTTGGTACCATCAACTCTTACCTGTTCATACAAATGCTTGCATTGCTTGGTACCATCAACTCTTACCTGTTCATACAAATGCTTGCACTGCTTGGTACCATCAACTCTTAGCTGTTAATACAAATGCTTGCATTGCTTGGTACCATCAACTCTTACCTGTTCATACAAATGCTTGCACTGCTTGGTACCATTAACTCTTACCTGTTAATACAAATGCTTGCATTGCTTGGTACCATCAACTCTTACCTGTTCATACAAATGCTTGCACTGCTTGGTACCATCAACTCTTACCTGTTCATACAAATGCTTGCACTGCTTGGTACCATCAACTTTATTAGAGAATGAGATAGTGGGCACTGAAGTATTGAGAGCATTAGTTATCCTGTCATCTATTAATCGCATCTTCTTTAAGCCTTCCTAAAAATACATTTTGAAATGGATAAAAGCTTTAAAATAAGTAAATTAGTCCCCTTGGAAAAACACAATTATTGGAGAGGTTAGTCTTTGAAAATTTGAGACCAACTTCCATTTTCTGATCAACATACTGAATATGATATACCCACTAATATATATCCCCAATGAAGTAAAACAATATTTCATGTGTGCATGCAATATCCCATTACGATTAAAATACTCAGGGCTTGCATTAACGGCGTCCCGTAGTTGTTAAGGACTAAAAAATAATTTGGAGGATGCAAAAATTGAAAATATTTCCGTTTTTTGGACGCAAATTTTTTTTAGGTCAATACTACAATGTGTTTACAACGATACCTAACAAAAACAAATAATTATGATCTCTCACCTTTATTTGAATCGTAAATAAGGCTCAACATGTTGAATATTTACAAATAATCATGATTCTCTCGAATTTTTTCGACTTTGTTTATTTTTAGATTTGAAACCATGACAGGCCACAGTTTTTCATATTGAGAAACAAATATTAGGTTATTCATGAAATAAAATGTATTCATTGTCGAATAAACGAACATGCATTTATTCAGTCCATACTTAACGTTTACTTCCGTTTTAAATTCGCGGCAAGAAATCAAAAACTGAAAGGTGTTTTGGTAAAAAATGCTTTTAAAATAAAGTTATACCTCAAAACAGGCTAGAAATAGGGGACACACATTTTTTTCAAAGGAGACACTTTTTTTAAAAAATTGCATCCTTGGGACTCACAAATTTTCTAACCTAATGCAAGCGCTGAATACTGCTCATAAATGTTTTAATAATACACTGTATTTAAAATGAGTACACTTATTATGAGTGACCCAATTTCTAGAATACAAAGTGACACCAATGTAGCGATCTTGACTTGAGACTGTCTCAAAATAAGCCGCATTTTGATTTTTTGACTTTTTGTATGTTGATGCTCTCTGGCATATCAGCGCCCTCTATCTTCTATATTGAAGTCACAATTTCAGAGGGCTGAAAAGCTATTCATCATGTTAGGGTCATTTTGACCATGACTGTTGTGATCCTGGTCATGTAGATGATATATGGGAGTGATATACCATACTATACTAACAAGACTGGTACTGGTGGAACGAAAAGATTTTTGAAAATATTGCTAAACCTGCACATGTTATTTTCTGGTAAAAAGTTAGAGAGTATGTGTATATTTCCTAACTTTTTTCTGGAAAGCATCATTGCATTTTTTTCTTTTAGCAAACCTGGAAAGGGGTCAATGGTAGGTGCATTAATGCACCTCTGGTGTTTTATTTATATATCTGAGATTTGTCACGACCCCTATTAAAACTCCTATAGTCAAAAAGACACTAGAGGAGGGGTTAAACCATATCCTTTAGTCTGAAATCTTTTTGAAATTTGGAATGAAAATATTCAGACTATAGCCCACATATGTTAAAATTTGGGATTGAAAGTTATTTGTTTACATAGAAAGTGCCATTCAAAATGGCAGATTGGGTAAATTAATTTGCATATTTTTTACTTCCTCTAGCTTTATTTCCATTTGACAATATCCTGTGTTACTTTTTATAGCATTTAATTGAACCTTACTACTTAATTGAATTGTTATAATGCTTATTTTTGGGAAGTGAAGTTTCCTAAAATTGATAATTGTGTGCAGGAAATTTCCTGTTTTTTTCCCACAGGAGGGACATAATGATCAATAGACTGAATTCTCAGGAAATTTTGTCTATTGGATACAGACTAGAGGCGGGGCTTCCACGTCCAGATCTACCCAAGGAGGATTGGCTCCCAGCGTTCCAACTTGATATTCTACCATTTATGGAGATGTCGTGATTATAAAATCTGAATTCAAACAGCCACCATTTGTTCACTTCAGAATTTGAATAGCAAGTAATTAGTCTTATTTCCAGGGTTTGTGTGAAAAACCGGGTGACCTGTTAACGGGGTTGCCGGGTGAGCAGGTACCTAACATTCCTAGGGTTACCAACTTTCAAGTTCAAGTTTCAAGTTGCTCATTCGATATTTAAACTTTATCATTTTTACCAAGAGCTTGTAAGATATAGAGCACTTTTAAAATAATCTACTACTTTATCAATATCAGAAAAAACTAAATTATTACCAGGTTACTCAGAATATCCACTGAATTAATATGAACACGTAACAAACTGAATTTGCAAGTCCTAAGAAGTTTACATTTTACACAGTTTACGTACATGTACAATGACATAAGTTGCTTGAATTATTGTCTGAGTGATTGACAGGATATCGATGATTGTTCTCTTTGATGGCGATTTCTACTAGAAGATTTGTTCAATATATATTATGGACACGTAAATTGAAACATTGTTTGCCATTTTAAACTGTCAATTAACATGCAATGTACAATACAAGTACGAGTGATTGACAGAATATCAATGTTTGATTGTTTTGGCGTTTGGTTAATAATTGGAAGATTAGTTGGTTGCTTGGTTTTTTGCTTGCTTGCTTGATTGGTTTTACGACTGGTACGTTGAGTTGGAGGTCAGTTGGGCGTTTTGAGGGATAAAAATGATATATCAAATTCATAACTCTGGTAGGAACGTTAGATTCCTGGTAACTCAGCTACCCCATTACTCGGTCACCCGGTTTTTTACACAAACCTTTATTTCCACCCCAAAATTCCAAGCAAAACACACAAGCAGTCATCGAGATATTGTTTGAATCTTTGGGACTGTTGATCATGAATTTATAGTCAGTTATCATTCCAGAAAGTAACGACCTTCTAACATTTTCATTGTTGTGAAATATTGAGTTGTGTCCCTGGGAGCCGTTCTCTGAGAGTACCAAAGCGTTTGTGTTGAACTCTTATGTTCCCCTGTGATCTAACGAACTGGTGCTTCGGGTTCGAGCAATGAAACATGTCAGTGTGGTAGGCAAGGAAATGCTCCCTGGGTCAAACTTATATAGCCTAATTCTAAGTGAAATCAGAAATTATTTTCAATAAAAATCTTTCATAATAAATTTTTCATTTTCAACCCTTTTACCAAATTTGGAAGTCGACTCGAAAATCATGTTTATGTAAGCTATTCTATATTATAAATAAGGTACTATGAAAATGTCTAAGGTAGTGATATAGTCTATAGTGACTTCTTCTTACCTGAAATCCCATAAAATCTTCACAAGGAACATCAGTACTCGTTCTCATGGGCGCCGCCATCTTGGATATTTCAACTCTCGCTGGAGCGAGATTAGTTTTTTTACTAATACAGGCTTACAATCACTCATCATGTTATAAAATGTCATCAATCAACAGACACATGTTATTATTGTCAAAATATCTCAAGAAGAATGTGACTTTAAAGCATCAAGCTGATTGAAAAGTCAACTCTCGAAGAGGAGAGACAAAAAAATTAAAAACGCATGTCTCTTTTTATCTTTGTCAAATATCTTGAGGAATTTCACTAATTTTACTGTGTATTGTCGCCAAATCAACAAAACTGTATATACTTCAAGGTAAGGATATACTCTTCTTATTCATTGAGCTTCATTTCAGTGCCATATTCTAAAAGGATTTGTCAAATTAGTTTTCTTCTTCCTTGTCAAATTTTTCTTTTTCGTTCGCTTTTCAATTCATTTTTTCTTTTGCAAATTTGAAGCTTTTAGCATGTATGATTCTCATACTACAACATTTCCTATTTTATCAAAATTCATACCTTTGATTCTCCAGTTCGGGAGATCACTGTGTTGCATATGCTATTTTGTTCCAACAAGGTTCGGAAAGACATTTTATTTCATTCTCAAGAATTGGTAGTCCAACAACATTAGACCTAGCCTGGGCCTTGTTTCTTATCTGACATGTTTTATGGCCCGACTAGGTCTAACCTCCATGATCATTTTGCCCTTGGTGCGTTAATTTTATCGTTCCGCAGGTTTCGACAAGCGGAACTAATTAAACCCGGAAACCATGGTAATATTACACAAAGAATGTTGTTCAAGCATGCATACATACCTTATGAATACATACACACCATCCCGTATCCCCCTTAGACCTTATTGATGCATAATTATGGAAATATTGGAGACAGGTTTGGAATATGACGAAAATGTCGGTCAGTTTCGGTGACATCGAAATTGCAAATCGTATCAGAAATTAACCGCCATCGCGGCACTGCATTTAGAAACAGTAGGTTTGCAATTAATAACTATTTTGCGTGTATACACGCGCTATATAAATCAATCAAAGATACCTGTTATCCTCAAAATTTATCTTTTTATGCCGAGTAATCGTGATAATATATTTCCAATCTATTTGACAACAATTTCGTTTCGCTAGTAGTTTAATTTTACGATCCGGGACACTCTGACGAACAGACACAATGACGGACATGCGGAAATGTCATTTTAGAGATTGGTGAGTGTAGTTTCATTTTACTAGTTTAAATGAACATTTAACACATTAATATTGTGTTAAAACGCTTGATGTTATGTGTTTTTATATTACTGTCAAGTATCAATTGCATGTTATCGCAGCAAAATGGTTTCGATGGATCCAGAACTTGCATCAAAGGAAAGAATAGTAAAGAGGTTAAACTCAATAACGGCCCCAAGAAAATTCCTAATAATAAAGAACGCCGTTATTGAGTTTAACGACGTTGAACTAAAGAATTGGTAGAAAGGAGCAAAAACAATTGCACTAAAAAAACAAAAAATGTTAACAAAAACAGTTATATAAAATATTTCTAAATAATTTTCGCATTAAATTGTTGTCAATCAGTCAACATTACATAAAATACCGTGTTTTTTTACAGAATGTTTTCAATTATTTTTTTAAAGCTGGACTTCGCTCCGAAACGGGGGTGAATCTTGTGTAGAAATACTTACGACAAATGTGTCATTTCAAAGATTTTTCATTGAATTGCTTCGATTGGAGCCGGCGATATGATTTTGGAAAGGTTTCTAAATAAAGAATGTGACGTCACTTCCGAATCATAGCATTCAAAATAAGTAGCGTTTAATTACTTCCACCATTCATAATAACACTGTGGTCTAGCGGTAGAATCCTCGCTTAGCACGCGGGAGGCCCGGGTTCGAATCCCGCATTTGCCTTTTTATTTTTTTAATTAAATGATTGTTCTTTGATATTACGCAAAAAAAACAATTTTTATTTACATAACTTTATATTAGAGCTTGAAAATGTAAAAACAATATATGTCAACATATTGCGTTTTGGAGCGATGTGCAGGTTTAAGGTCAGGGTGCATGATGGGAAATTTTCTGCATTCCTCAATTGAGTCACATGTTATTTTTCAAACAAGAATCACTCCTTCCCTTCATTGTCTATATCTTCCAGTTTTGCACAAAGAGTGCACTTATGTGCCTAGAAAAGACTTGTGAGAAGAATGTTTTGATAAAGTGTATAAAAAACAAGAAAATTCAGTGAAAAAAATCAGAAAATTTTCAGAAATTTTTTTCACTGAATTTTTTCATTTTTTATACATTTTACAAAACAAACCTTCTCACAAGGCTTTTCTAGGCACAGAAGTGCACTCTTTGTGCAAACTTGGAAGATGTAGACAATGTGGGGAAGGAGTTATTCATGTTTGTAAAATAACATGTGACTCAATTGAGGAATGCAGAAAATTTCCCAACATGCACCCTGTCCTTAAGAAAAAAACATTGTTGATGAATTCAGTTCTCCATATCGATACTACTCCTTTGAGTTGACATTTCAATGACTGATGTAGAGGCATTCTTTGTCAATTCTGCTATTTCAATAACGCCGTCCAAGTATTGCAAAAACGTAATGAAAAATCCATGGACCCGGAAATAAAAAGTGATTGCGTTTTGTGGACGCAGTGCAAGCCATACTCATACAATCAACTTTGGATGAATGATTTGATAAAGATCTTACCTTCAGTCTCTTTATTTCGTCAGAATCCAATAAATAATTGAAGAAAATTCTATTTCTAAAAGAAATAAAATTTTCTTTCGAAATTTCCTTCCCGGAAGTTGATTTCTGATCGAAATAGTACGAGGCATGTGATAGGACAAAAATTTATACAATACTCGATTTCCGAGCAGTAATCAGTATGAGTCCTACGATTGGCCGGTAGCTTAAGACCTGATTCAAACCATTTTCAATTGGTCAAGTGTGATCACGTGATCATTATTTGAGACTGCATATGCGCAAGAAACTGAACTAAAAAGTTGAACCTCGCGCAGATTGCCCCTAAACTAAACATGCTAAAGCAAAATCAATAGCAAATTGTTTCGAAATTCGCAAGGAAAAGGTGTTTTAAATGGGAGAATATAAGTTATGATGGTATCTGTATCATTCAATGACATACTAGACTTGCAAGAACGCTGATTCAGACCGATAAATAGCAAAAGCAGTGGTACAAAATTTCATCAATTTATTTCATCCAGTGTAAAAACGTGACCTTTGAATTCCCGGGAACATTTTTTCAAGGGACGCAGTTTTTTGAAGGGAGACGCATTTTTTGAAAATCATTACGTCCAAGGGACGCAATTTTGGACAAGCCTACTGAAAACACTGTCAATTGTGTTTCAATTTTTATGATATACATGTAAGTGCTCAGGAGTGAATACTTCATGTGCGCTTAATATCAAATAATCTGATTGGTTTTAATTTACAAACATGCATCTGCGCGTGTGCCATGTTTTTTCTAGTCCTTTTTTGTTAAATACACAAATTCCATGGAACGAAAAAAGTTCAGAAAAGCAAATGCTGGAGGCATGAATATTTAACAGGTAAAATTACTACAAGATTTTAGAGATTTTTTGCCTGTATTAACTTTGCAACAACAGAATGTTTCCCCAATGTACATGTACTAACAAATAAAACTTACCTACTGTAATCGCTGTAATAAGGGCCCACCCCTAATAAGCCCCCACCCCGCTTCACAGAGATCAAGAAATATCGAGGAATGACCAAGTATTGGTCATATATGATATTTATAATATGTATCAAGGATATAAGGATTAAATTTCTCCATTTATGTTTTGTAGATGTCGGAACCAACAGCACCAGGGAGTCCGGCTAGCAATCGTTTGAAATCCTACAAGAATAAAGCTCTAGATTCACAAGAAATGAGACGGAGGAGGGAGGAGGAGGGGATACAACTACGTAAACAGAAACGAGAAGAACAGTTAAATAAACGACGTAATGTTCGGTCTACTCCTTTGGATGATGATGATTTAACTAACAACCTTCAAGAACCATTTGTCTCATCTTCTGATGGGGTTACTGTAAGTTAAGAATTTTGTATTATGAGGTAGGCCAAGTGAAATTCATAATGCCTTGAGCTATATAGTTGCAAATAAGATTAGACCAATGATCCATGGTTGATTAATGAGACCATGCAGTGCAGTCATATTTCCAGCATAAGAGCACCTTGTTGGAAGTGATAAATATTTAAATATTTCTAGCAAAATAGGCAACTATAAGCATGAATGCTTCTTGTTCTACTGCTTGGGATCTCTTTTTATTATATTTCCTAATTCAGAAAAATAGAATAGTTTTCTCACTGAGAAACTATGAGGATGCAATTAATTTTCAAATTCTCAATGTTTATGTTTTGGATAAAGTACCTGGTTGTTCCGTTGCTGGCGGGATGTTTTTACGTATTACAACAAATGTTTGGTCGGCTGCCAAAATCTCATGTCATGGCAACCTTGAGTTCTATTTAAGATGATCCTGTTTCATTAGAAGAACTTGTAAACTGTTATAGAGGTAATTATTTGCCTTCTCCAATTTTATTTTCTGAAATCAATTATTTCTCTTTAGGGTGGAATTACCAGTGAGATGGTGCAAGCTTTATTAGGAGAAAACATGGAACTACAGTTAGCTGCAACACAAAAATTTAGAAAACTTTTATCAAGAGGTATGTTTTGAACATGGACCGTCCTTAAGAAGGGCTATTTTGGGGGAATTTTGTATATGTAACGCACCTGAAAAGAGGGGAGTATTTCTAGATCAAAATATTTCTCAGATTTGTTTAAAATATTAAATATAATCTTAACACTGAAATTAAAATAGAATACTTGTCCATACATTGGTTCATCATTTATCTCTTTCCTCAGGTTCAGTGAAAAAGCTATGCTGTATATTCTTTTTGACATTACACTCAATGCCAAATGTTGCCATTTCAGAACCCAATCCACCTATAGACGAAGTAATACAGACTGGTATTGTTCCTAGATTTGTGGAATTCTTAAAAAATGAACAGAACTGCACGTTACAGGTTGGTAAAAGTCAACTTCATCACTTCACCTTGTACTGAAAATAATCAGCCTGGGTCCTGTCAGTTGTATAATAAGTTTCATTCAATATTTCAACTTACTTTGCACCTTGCTTATTCCTGTAAATTCTATTTCGCTTCTTTTTAATGCACATCCTTTCCATGCTTAATCTATAAATCCACAAATAATTTGCCCAATTGTTTCATTTGTTTTATCTGTAATAGTCCAAAATTTAAATATGGCCACATTTTCATACTTCTCATTTTGATTTCAGTTTGAAGCTGCATGGGCATTAACAAATATAGCATCTGGCACTTCATTTCAAACCAGAATAGTCATCGAATCTGGCGCTGTGCCAATATTTATCCAACTGTTAGGGTCTGAGTTCGAGGATGTCCAAGAACAGGCTGTCTGGGCGCTAGGCAACATAGCTGGTGACAGTCCTGAGTGCAGGGATTATGTTCTGGGGGAGGGAATCTTACTTCCACTTTTACAGTAAGTCTTGCACTTTCCTTTATAGATACTTTGAAAAGGAAAATTAGTTTTTCCAGTTTTTAAATCCATCTGGTTCATAGAATATTTCTTCAGATATTGTGGATTTTTAGGAAGTTACATTTTGAACCCTTTTGAAATAATTTCAAAAACAATATTTACAAAAAAATTTCAATTCTCTGTTCTTATCCCATCAAATGAAGTTTGGAAGACATAGAGAATGCCTCTGCCCATCAGTCCATTTATCCCTCTGCCTGTCCTACTGTCCATCAATCCATACATCTTTCCACAAATTCGTCTATATCCATCCATTGGGGTAATAACATATTCCAATGTATATGTCCAATATTTTTTACAGTTCTTTATATATGCCCTAATGGAGTACAAATTCTGGTCAAAATTCACAAGCCAATATTACAAATGGCTACTGGTTTGAAAATGGCAGCCTTTTTAGTGTTGATTTTACAAAGTTATGTAATTTGAAAATTTTGGCATAAACAACTGATTCATGTAATGTATAATAGTGCATGTTGATACTTAATGTTGAAGTACAATGTACATGCAAGGATGACACATTGATTTCTAGTTATGCATCTGGTATGACGATCATTTTGAAAAATGGTGGCAAGGGTTTGAGTTTCTTGCTCAAAATGCAATGCACTTGTGTTGAATTCAATTGTGATATTTATCAATGCCATGCAATGACTCGGATATCACTTTAGTTTAAAAATACAATTCACTGCATGTATTTTTGTTTTAGATTATTTAATAAATCCAGTCGACTTTCGATGACACGCAATGCTGTGTGGTGCTTATCAAATTTATGTAGAGGAAAAAATCCTCCCCCTGAGTTTGGTAAAGTCACCCCTGCATTACCAGTACTAGCACGATTATTGTTCCATCAAGACGCAGATATCTTGGCTGATGCATGCTGGGCTTTATCATACTTATCTGACGGACCCAACGAGAAAATCCAGGCTGTCATTGATAGCGGTGTTTGCAGACGATTGGTCGAGTTACTCATGTAAGTGTGAATAAATTAACTCACAAAACGAAATGTAAAAGTTTGGCACAATCTTTCAAACCAACTTTGACATTATATATAGTGTGTTAGACTTTTACTGGTTATAGTCAGTTAACTGGCGGGAAGTTTTAATTGATGATTTCAAAGGAGATCTTGAAAGTTGAAAAAATAAATTGGGAAAAAAATGGTAAGTCATCGTTTATTTTTATATTCGCCAAGCTTTACCTCCTTTAAATGTCAATGTTTTGTTGTATTCATAAATACTGAACAAAAAAATGACCAAACTTTGTTTACAGGCACAATCAGCAGAGTGTTGTGTCAGCTGCCTTACGTGCTGTGGGAAATATTGTAACAGGAGATGATATTCAAACCCAAGTTGTACTGAACTGCACAGTTCTGCCATGCTTACTGCATCTACTATCAAGTGTTAAGGAGTCCATTAAGAAAGAGGCGTGTTGGACAATATCTAATGTTACCGCTGGCAACAGAGCACAGATACAGGTAACCACAATCACATAGTATTATAACAATCACATTTTCAAGTAGCAATATGATATAGATATAAGAGATTTTGTGTGGGAAAACGTTTCCATCAAGTGCAATAGTTTTCTCTAAAGAAATTTTTCTCAGCTGGAATTTGTTCTCCCGAATATTGAATGTGTGTAATGAAATATAAATATAAAAATGGCTTTTAAACTTGATGAAATGTAATTTATGAATCTCAAATTTGTGCAGCATTGGCTGTGTGCAAAATTCTAAAATTTTAGATTTGTGTCTTTTTGATGTTCAGACTTTGAAGCAGATAATGGTGCACTATAAAATGTGTACTTTTATTTTCCAGGCTGTTATAGATGCTAACATATTCCCAGTGCTGATAGATATTTTGGGTAAAGCAGAGTTTAAGACCAGGAAAGAAGCTGCTTGGGCCATCACCAATGCCACATCTGGGGGAACTCCTGAACAAATAAGGTACAAAATTAAGCAATTTTCCTCATTTCACCACTGTGGCAATATACCAGTAACTCTTTACAAAATATATCATGTAGAATGCTTGAACTTGAGTTTGAGTAAAACTGAGTTTGACTTGACTTGTGCATAATTTACCAAGTTTGAGCTAATGAATTGGGCAGGGTAGATGAATTTTAGATGTGTATTAACGTAAGCACTATGACCTCAAGAGCAAACCTAAAATGTTGAGCGTAACAAATAAATTTACTTTTCTATCTGGCTGATCCTAAGGATTGTAGATTTCCAAGACAAAATTAAAAGTATAGAACAGTTACCATGTTATTTTTAAAACATTTTAAAAAGTGCTATTGTCATCTTGTGCACTGATGGCCGTGTGTCTGTGAGTGCGATCAGACGAGTGTCACTTAAATCTTGTCATCAAAATTCCAGGAAAATCACCCATCCGTTCAACATGAACTTTTTACAGTTGTAAGAGCAGACTAGTGCCAAGATCTTTTTAGATTTTTAGCTTGGTGTGTAAATTACCTGGCAGCCATTTTGCTCTTAAATGTGCAATATTTATCACTGTGTGTATTGTTTCTTGCTCAACATGTTGAAAAATAATGAAAATGAAAAATAAGGTGACTTAGATTGAGAGTAATTGGTGCTTGGCCTCTGACTTGGCATTTAAAATAAACTTTGATTCTATAATAATATTTCAGATTTCTAGTAGACCAAGGTTGTATCCCTCCACTTTGTGACCTTCTAACTGTGATGGACCATAAAATAGTCCAGGTTGCCCTGAATGGCCTAGAGAACATACTACGATTAGGAGAGCAGGACCAGAGGGCCCATGGTACAAGCAATGCTTATGCTCTAAAGATTGAAGAATGTTATGGTAAGTATGAGTCCCATTGTATTGTAGATAATGATGAATTTATAAATTGGACCCACAGAAACTTAACCAGGCATTTGTCGTTATATTAAGAGATTGGTCTGAAAGGTATCCCTTTCTTATTGATCAGATATGCATTCTGTTTATAAAATAGAAATATTTTTAATGTAATATGCTGTTCTTTGGTGCAACATATTTATCATTAATTGTGATGTCACCACCACAATTTTTTTGTGGATGGTATTTGGCTGTCGGTGTTCGGAGTTTGGTGTCTGTAGCAAATGGCAGGTGGTGACATTTTGCAGCATCTTATTTTGGAAGGCATTGTTCAACTATTATTGGCTATTTCTACCAAACTCATTTTCAATAAAATTTATTGAAAAAAGTATATTGTAGGCAACAAGATCAAAAAAAAAAGTTTGTGGACTACTTTCAGGTTATGGCAAAATAGCATTTTTGAAAAAGCAGTGGGAATGAGGATATTTGTCTAAAATGTATTGAAATTTATGTATGATATTTTGATGTGGAGGAAGAGAATAAAGAAATAGCTCCTGATGTGGACGCTAAATGCACAGCAATATCAGTTTGTTGCGGAAAATAATACTCCCTCTGGTGGATTCCAACTATAGCAATGCCCTCTATAATATTGTTCAGCCTAAAATAGTATGGTTATACCCTTCCTTAGACGTTTAATGATTTTTATATCCATGTTTTCATCAATTTTGATTTTCGGACCCATTGCTTTTGTAAATCGTCATCATGACAAAATTCGCTAGCTTATTACCCACTTATTGCATTTAGGATTGATTGGTCTGATGTCAGCTATTGTCATTCATGCATTAATTGTTTTATTTAGATCACCACCTTGAAAACCAATGACTGAATTATCTGGAATTCATCTTACTCTTTCAGGCTCAGTGTTAATCTTAATAGAGTCCTCTACTATAGCAGTAGCCAGTAGTGACCAGGCACCATTTCCTCTGTGGAAATAAAAGCTATTTAAGAAATGTATTAAACAAGATCAAACACATATGTTTATTTGCAATTTTTGGGATTTCTTTCCAGGTCTCGACAAAATAGAATTCTTGCAGAGCCATGAGAATCAGGAAATTTATCAAAAATCTTTTGAAATTATTGAACGATATTTTGGCACGGAAGAAGAGGATAAAGAAATCGCTCCTGATGTAGACGCTAATGCACAGCAATATCAGTTTAATGTTGCGGAGAATAATCCTCCCGCTGGTGGATTCCAGCTATAGTGATGCCATCTATCTTGTTTTGCTTAACATAGTTGTTGAAAAGCCAGTGTTCATGAAATGTAAAGAAACGGAGCTGAAAATCATGTTTTAAGAATAAATGGAATCAGCATATAATAAAGGAAATAAACATGATATTGGTTCTGTAATACGTTCATTGGATTTCCTGGAAGATTTAAATGACCACTGTGAGGTTAGTGGCATTATGTTTCATGCCCGGATCTACCAGCTCTCCTACCTTAGATTTTCATTAGAAAATACAGCAAAAAAGTATCGGAGCTGAAAACTACCTGAACCAGTTACTGCAGAAATGGTGAAGGGTCAGAAATATTGGATTTATTAAGTTCATGAATTTGACCTTTATATAGATTGCTGTTTGCCAAAATGCTTTGATTGTATGATTCTCTACCTATAGGTACACAAGGTATTCAAATAGGTTTTAGATGAACAAGGTATTCATTTATATTTTGTCTAGGCCTACATGTAAATACTCAATCTTGAAAATTTTGTAGTTCTTTGTTTGGAAGCTTTATAACCCTACTGATGTATTACTCTCTATGTTCCCCCTGAATACACGTTTGATAACTACAAGTTTGGATCTGTATCATGTACACCTTACCAAGTAGGAGAACTTCTTTGTATGTTCCACCTTATGACATATGTCAGGCCCGAAGCCAGGATTTGCCAAGGGGGGTTCACTTTTTGAAAAATTCCAGGGGGGGTTCACTTTTGACAATTTTGGTCCAAAATCACTTAAAAAGTGCTCAGAATGGTGAAAAACTGCATGGTTTTGAAAGAAATTTTGGCCAGGGGGGGTTCGCTCTAACCCATTGAACCCCCCCCCCCCCCTGGCTACGGGCCTGTATGTGACTTTGAGATTGCCAAAAGTATAAGACTGAAAGATCTGTGTTCAGAGTTGGATTATTTCAATTGTGAAAAAGGCACAAAATGTTTTTTCTTGAATGGACATAACATTAACTTGGTAAAGGTATCATCCATTTGCTGGCTGAGAATATTATTGTAACAGGAGCAGATTCTAGTTAAGTCGCAAAAGTATTGCTAATAATGTATGGCGGAATCCCGGGGTCGGAATCGAAGGGTAAGAAATATTTTGTGCATGCCAAAAACATTTTGATAATTCACAAATCAGATGTAATGTTATATCAATTAAATTGATTGAGTTAATTGGTTTTATTTGGCATATATAATGTACATTTTTAAGTTATGTATCTCAGATTTGAGTTACCTGTTTCAAAAATGAAAAATGATTTCTCTTTAAATGCTGGAATATTCAACACATGTCCAACACTTATTTGAACAATGAAGTTAGTCCAGAGTAAAGAATTATCATAATTACTCTACTCATGGTTAATTTAGACTAAAATTTATATACAGGATGGTCTAAAAGTAAGTTTACAGTTATTTAACAATCACTCTGTTATGTAAACTGTAAACCTACTTTTGGGGCACCCTGTATAAATAGACAAAATGGAAATAGGCCAAGAATCTGTAAAAACAAAATGGAAATAGGCCAAGAATCTGTAAAAACTGAAAAATGCTTTACAAAATTTGTGCAAGAAATGTCCAGATTTACTGTTTTTGGTCTGAAATATAAAAGCTCGTGAGGACATAGGTTTTGGTAATTTGATTTTGAAGGAGATATTTATGTTATCTTGAAAATGTCTCAACTGCTATAATACCAGTTCTGTCCGGAGAATAAGAAACAAAAAATATGAACTCAATTTACGTCTAAAATAACCATGTGTATAGTAACATATAGTGTGGACAAGGACACCATATAATCATTACAGGTCTAAATGGACTTCCAAAGTTTGAATATTTCAAGTTCAAATCTCAAAATTGATTGCAAAAAGTTCATGATACTACATGCACAATCACTACGTTATTAAACCTGTTTCCAATGCTCATGATTTCTTTTTCATTGTTAAATACTTTTCGAATTATGAGATTTGAACTCATTATGTTTCAAATTTTGCTGAATGCTGAATTTAAGGGGAAACTGGAGAAGTGAATGAATATCAGTAGACTTGCACTGTATTATGTACTGTTGAGCTAATATTGGTGTAATCAGCAATATTTGATACAAAATGGTAAAATGACACATTATTGTATGTACGTATATGTTATAAAAGTTGATTATAATTCAAGGCAAACATTTTAAATGAAATCATTTGGGCCTACTGGGTGAAGCAGTAACATTATTGTTTGCTTTACTGATAAATGATTTGTATTTTTCAGAATCAGAGTGCAACTCAGTAAAATCCAAAGTGATTGAGATTATAATCTGAAACACCTTTTTGAAGTGAAAGTATAAAGTCATTTTGTGAAGATTTTCTATTTGGTTATCTAATGGCACATCAATTGAAGTTCCTTAGCTTATCCTCCTGTTCTCTCTCAAGACTCTAAAACAAGGTTTGGGATATAACCACTCCAGGGAAACAGACTTAAATCAAGGGAAAGTAAAATATTTGAGCATTGTATCAGTCATTCAATCATTGGTTTCAAATCTATTATGTGTACTAGAGTCTTATATATGTTATTGATCATCACTTTCCCCAGTAGGCCCATGAAAATCGAGCACACAACATATGACAGACAACAACTGTACAAGATACACACATGCATGCATACACCTTACAACATGCCATAGTGGCCAACACTCTCTCAAGCAAAATGTGTCGTCTTTTTGGAAGAAAAAAATAGGATCGTATTTTGGATCTTTGAGAAATTTATATGGTCCAAATATTGGTTGCCTTGGAGATATTGTTGCCTTGGAGACTTTATTGCCTTGGAGAGGTTTGACCACTGTTGCATTATGAAGGTACAATCCATTATATGTACACGCAACAAAAACACAATTTGGGCTACAATTAATAATGGTCCCTATATAGTGTTAATCTCAATTTGCAGTAATTTATTTTTATACTCAAAAGTGAAACATTAGTGTAGTGTAATTTAAATGTCCATTAATTTATTTCAGTTTCACAAAGGAAACATTAATGAATGAATATTTTCTACTGTATAAAAGTTTAAAACTTATTTATTTTCTGGCCCAATGTGCATTTTGTTTCAAATATAGCCATTTGTTTGTAAGTTCTCTAAAAGTGAAGTTTTAGTCCTTTTAGTTTTTTAAGAATACATATACCCCAGTAAACCCAATGGTATTTTTGAATATGACAATATATTTTAGAAGGAAAATAACTTCAGTCCAATTGCCTATATAAAAGCCATGTACATCCATGAACACATGCATACATGCATTCAACTCTCACATATAGCAAACAAACCGAATACTTAAACAATTTAGTGTTACATCAAATCTACATCCTCCCTCTCAGTCTTCTCCCAACCAGGAGTAAAAGATGGGGGGTGTGTAGATTTGGTACAAGACTACAACCAAACAACAATTTTTACATAAAATCAGTTTTATATTCTACAACATTGCATTGTTGAGTTGGAACTATATTGTAATTGTTCATAAATTCAATGGATGATGTTGTAAAATAAAATACGAAAACATCAATTAAATATTCAAAGTTGTGTTTCTTGTAGTTTTGTAGTTTAATGAACTTTACTCATGGGTGATCCTTTGCTGTGATAGTTGATTTTGGTTCAATCTTTGCCAGTCCTCCAAACTAGTAGTCATGTATTTGTGCCGTATTTGTGTTGAACCAAATGTTAAGGCCAATAAAAGATGTCAGAAGTGTAATTATGTCTTCATACTCTCTACACGAAGGCTTCTAAATAAAGATCTCGAAATCCCCGGCGTTGTTTAAATCCCGTTTTGAAAAAGTCGATATGTGATGTATATTTCTTAATTTTCAAAAAAATCTACAGATACAGGGTGGTCAAAAAAATGGCAACCCTAATTTTTCCTCATATCTTTTTTTCTCATTTTTATTAGAAATTTTGCCCTGATATTTGGCACACATTTATTCATACTAGACTGTGTTATTCCATGAACATTGGACTGGTAGTCGCAATGTTACAGCACTTTAAACAAGGTGCCCCAGTTTTCCAAATATCGTGCTGTAGGCAAACCTGCACACATTTGCCAAACCTGTCAATGACATAACTGCATTCCTCGAAGCAAATATTGCCTGAACGACACATGTGATCTTTATTTTGAGGTCAAATGTCTTTCTGGTGTTATTACCCTACCCTCTTTGGGGTATCCCCACTGGTAAAGATTAAATGGGGCCATATCTGGGCTATGGGGTGCCCATTCATGGTCTGTTGTACTGCTGATAATGTTGTCATTGAAGTGGTCCCTTGGTAGTATCCAAGCTCCTAGTTGCCAAACTTATGGAGGGGAGTGTGACTTGAAGGGCTCATGTTGATGGTTTGACAGTTGATATTTAACAAGGTTTTATTTCATGTGTTTGATCATAAACGAATCCGAATTGTATTTTGAATTTTATCAGTGCAATATTATAGCATAGCCAGTAACCCTGCTGACGAGGTCCAACTGAAAATATGAGTCATGGAATTTTACTTTTCCAAACTTTAGCGTTCCTTTACGTGCCACCATTGAGAACAGGTGTTTATTGCTTGCTTCAAAAGTGGTCAGCAAGTTTTTAATGACAATTTTTATTGACCAATACTAGGTCAATAGAGGTTTTTGTTTTTGCAACTTTTTGAGAAAGTCAAACAACATAATTCTTTTAGTCGGACCCCGTCAATAACCAAAGTGAGTAGAACAAGGTCGAAACACCTCACTAAATGTCAAGCTTACTTTGCAAGTCACCGCGAACCGTTGGAGCCCGCTAGTTAAACCTGTAATAGAACTTAAACAACATCTTCCAAATTTTATATATATTTGAATTTATTCAGTTTACCCTTAGACAAATGTTAACAGTCAAATACACGAATGCAATAAATTGACAATAACCAGTCCACCAAAATAAATTGTCCGCTTTTTCTGCTCAACAGATCCATCCTTCTTCATCAGATCAAAGTACGATCTACGTTTCAGTTTCGTCCAGTGCGTTCCCTAGGAAGGAGGCACGAGTGCACTGAACGAACTGAAAATGCTCGGAGATTGATCAAAATATTTTGGGAGCATTAATATTGTTAGTATTTTTCAATTAAAATTAGAAGTATATATTTTAAGTACTCTTTCAACATCTTCGTTAACATTTGTTTTTCTGTAGTATAAACCAATCTAAAAATCTCCCGTTAGATAAAATCTTCAGTTATTGTCAATTAGCTAGATCAGTCACATCGTCCACTGCTTTGGATCGGAAGCTGCCCCTGGTGAAAAGGAAAGCGCCCATTTGTGCAAGTCACGTGTTCATCGGCGTCGCCTGCAGAATCCGAGACTCCCGCATATTTTTCTCTCTGCTAACATACATGACCCGGCCCCTAGATGTGCACAGGCGTTGTACACTGCCCCACAACAGCCACCACCTCGCTTCATCGCTGATACAAAGTTCTCATAGTCCATTTCTCTGTAGAGAAAAATAACAGATGATCATTATGGTAAGCCAGAGCCCCCAGTACCCCCCAGTCTTATCTGCCGTTTGCGAAGGATAAAGACAAAGGGGGCGCAACAATCGCGATGACAGATGATAGTAAGTATAATGTTGTATGATATGGTATTTTATGATATGCTATCAAATGCCATTTATTACTGTTAATATAAAATGGAATTATACATTTGCCTGTATTTTTGGTATTTATATCAACACTATATGTTTAATCTTATTCTGTATTCGATCCTT